TGCACTTGAAAAAAGCCCGGAAGAGCTGTTTTCTATCAAATAGCTGAAGTGTTTCTTACTTCTGAAGTTATTTTACAATATTTGCTTATTTAATTTATTTTAGGGAAAATAAATTCAAGTTTGTTATAGGTTGTTGTCTTCTTGATGGAAACTTTGTGCAACTTTCTTTAATTGTTCAATATTTAACTGAAGCTTTAACCATTTGTTTTTTATTTGTTTTATTAAAAACTTCAATGCTAATAAATCCAGTTATAATTGATATTTCTATAGCACATAGAGATAGGCGTCGGGTCTGTCGTTTGGCCTTTGGCCTGCTGACAGCAGCTCTTTTCGTAATACCCTTGATGAAGCTACAACTTGTGCTGTTTTTTTTTTTTTTACTTTGCTGATTTCAGCTTAATCCCTTTGACTTGTGTTTATAAAAAATATCAACACACAGGCACAGACACACACCCTACCCTGGCACGGCTTATCTGGACAGCTGAGCCAGACAAGTTGAGAGGAGCACAACACGAATTTGACACATGTCATAAGCAATGGCAAGCATACACATAGAATACTTCCTCAATGGATGGGCCCAACTTGTATAAGCCACAAAAAAACAAATCACTTGAGGGCAGCACGGGACAAATAGCCACCCTTCCCCCTCCCCGCCGCCCCTTCAACCACGCTGAAGAAGGCGCGCAACTTGGCATTATTTGAATTAAGTGCATACTTAAGCGTAATTTATTGGAAAATCCACAAGAGCCTGTGGCCCAAGGGCGGGCGGGTGCAACCATTTAGCCAACAACAGATTGTGGGCACTATATACGTAGATATACCATATATATATAAGTAAGCGCCAGTGGGCTTACATAAATCTATTGTTTCAAGGCAATTCCTAGTTGGCTCGCTCATTAATCTGCAGACCAAGCTGCTAGCTGCTCAACCCATCCTCTGCTGGCATTCTATCTATGTCTCTCTGGCCATACTATTTGAATAGTGCGCTTCACTGTTTGCCCAAATGTCACTCGCTTTTTCACGCGTTATCTTAATAAACCCCAGTCCGAATGGGTTGTATGTGGGTGTGGGTGTGTGTGTGGGTGTGTGGGATATTTGTGGTTGTGGTACTGTGCTGATTGTGGCTGAGTTGCTGCCTCTTCTGGCTCTGCTGCTGTCTTCTTTTCATTAGACTTGTATACATGTCCCCGGGGCAGTGGCATCTGCTTGCTGCCCTCTAAGTTTATGGTACGAGTAACGAGTTATTGGCATGCATTGAATTTTGCTTTTGGAATTTTTGTGTGTGTGCCGGAGCCGAAGAGCCAAAGAGTAGACAATCATTGGCATGTATAGAATTTCACTGATTTATGTTTCATATGAAAACTCAAGAGAGAGCGAGTGCTGCCCCGACCGCACTCCTTTCCATCTATAGCACCCCCAAAGGCTGAAACTGAATCTGAGTTGGGGACTGTGAGACTGAGGCCCGTCTCCGGCTGGTGACAATGCAGTGATTACATCTTTTGAGCATTTTACCCACACACTTCCGTTTTGTCGTCTTCATCATCATCGTCATCGTCATGGAAAGAAAGGCATGCCTTTGCAGCAGAAATATTTTTGTGCTAGAGAAATGATAAATTTTTGATTAAAGGCTCGGCGTATGGATGGGTGGCTGCATGGCTGCCTTCTGCCTGTGTTTGGCATGCCTTTGATAGGCAACTCCAAACGAACGTACAACACACTCGAAACACAAGCAAAAGGTGTTTTTATTATTGAATGTTATGGCTGCCTAACGCCTAGATACCCATTGTGCCTTGAAAAAGTGTTAAAACTATAACTCTAATTATAAACAGAGCTATAACAGCTGTAATCTTTAAACTTGTTAATCAAGTTAATGTTAATGACCTTCCTCTCTGTTAGCCTTTGAGTACAATTATTCGGACTTAATATTTATTTACATAAGCTTTATTATATTAATTGTACAGTAAATAACGATGTTATATTAAGGCTTATATGTTGTTAGGCTGAAACATCATGCAGATGTTATAAACAGCTGCTTACCTACTTGTAACAGACTACTAAAACTTTAATAGAATGTTAACTTATACTGCATTTGACAATAAATTGTAAGGTTATATTCAGGCTTAACATTTGTTAAGATAAAACACCATGCAAATGTTATAGGCAGCCGTATTCTAACTTTTAACAGACTGAAAAAAAAAATAACACAAACGTGTTAACATAATGTTTATTTATACTGCAGTTGACAATAAATATTAAAATTATAATAGGGCTTGCCATTTGTTAATATGAAACTTGTTCCAAATATTACAAGCAGCCTTTTACAAACAATCTACAAAAATGTTACCGCGATGTTAACTTTAACTTATTGCTTCTCTATTTACAGAATTTTCTAATAAATTAGTTAGTCTTTTGATTTATGCCAATTATCCAAAAAAAAAAATGTATTAATTTAAAATACTCCTGGATAAAAATTGTTCTTTATAGATCCGCATTATGTAATGCTACGATATCCCATTTCTTACAATATATATCCAATTCGGTTTTTAGTTGCCTCCCAAGTCAAACTCCTCCTGCATTTCACTTTAAAGGGCATATAAATACTTTCCCAAGCTTGTTAAATTACATTTGCCAAAGCAATGTTCATTGAGTTTTCGTTGATTGCCAGTTAAGAATATTTGACAGGCGCTTCCCTCTCCGCTCCTTTTCTCTCTGTGATTACTCGAGTTAGAGCCAGAGCTCGTTATCATTCATATTCTCAATCAAATTCCAGTCAATCGCTGCTGTCAGCTATCCAAATGTTAATTTAAACAATTAATTTCAATATATGGCATTGAGCGGGCAAGATAGAGCGAGAGGGAAGAGGGAAGAGAAAAAGAGAGTGTATAGTATCTTTAACATGTCAATTTGCAAATTAAATACACAACATGACAGACGAACAGGAGACAGCAGCGGGAAGTGTGCCACAAACCGAGGCAACGAGAGTGAGATGGAAATGAAAATGTTGGAATTGGAGACGGGCATGGGAACGGGAAATGGTGGAAAGACCAGACCACACAGTGCACAAGTGCACTAAATATAGATCTGATTTGGGCAGCGGTGGAGCGTAGAGTTTGCGACTGATTTCGAGTGGAACTGAAGAACTATACGAGTGAGGACCACTACTTGGAAGCAGCAGCAGTAGCAGCAGCGAAAGACAACGAAGACTGGCACAATTTCTAGACAAATTTAATTGAGCCAAAGTGCTCACTTAAGCTCTTAAATCTCTAATTGTTTGTTGTCCAGCTAGCTTTAAATGGGGGTTAAAATAGTTCAACCAGTGGGCATAGCACAGGTTGGTGTAGAAAATGCGTAGGATTTGGAATTCCAAAGCAATTTCCAAATTCAATTAACAAATGAATAGCCCAAATGATTGGGAAAGGAATTGCCCAATCAGCATACATTATAATTCTGACTAATTTTGCTGGCGAAATAGTTGGAAAGTTACCAAAACACATGTTCTTTTCTTGTATTTTATTGCCCAGACCAGAAACAAACTAATAAGTTGAGTCATTAGCTCTTGACTCTGGGTTCTCAGTATCTACAGGTTCCTTTTTGTTATCTTCCACCAACTTTTACTTAGGGAAACATATGTTGCCAATGCAAGTTCCTATAATAATAGTTCTTCGACTAGGGTGATTAGTCTTCTTGCTGTCAGCTACTGCTACTGACAGGTGGTTTAGAAAGAAAAAAACAAGCGAACCCTCGACAATTGTCGGCAGACTAAAGAGGACCTTCATAGCTGCTGCTTACGGTTAAAGAATGTGCATTTCCTGACCTCAGTTGGGGCTTACGAGCTGAAAAGTCATTAAATTTTGTGTATCGACAAAAAAAATAAAGTAAAATAAAAAAAGTAAGCAATTCATAAAAATAAAAGGAAAAGTAAAAAATAAAATTTTAATAAGGATCTAACTTTATGAAAATACAATTTTTAATACAAAAATAAATATAAAATAAAGATAACTAAATATTATAATTTAAATAAAATAATAATGGAAAATATAAAAAAAAAAACAAAACAAATAATTAAAAAAAATTTAAAATATATATATAAAAAAAATATAATAAAATATATAAGACTTGCTTCTATTAATATACTTTGTTGGTCATGAAAAAAATATAACCCTCTCTTTAATAATGAAAATTATAGAAAAAATTCAAAATGACTTTAGATATGCTCTATGTAATACTTATACATGTTTGTAAACATACGTAAATGTAATTCCTCCTATATATTTATATATTTGCCCTAAGATTTTCTTTACCCAGATAGTCATTATTCAGATATTAAAAAGTTGAATATTAATATAGATACAAATTTACAGAAAAGTTTTATTGTACTTCTTTTTACTCAACTATATCTGAATTATATAAAAAACTCATGCAAATTAATGACAACTTCAGAATTCAGTAATTTACATACGATTTTTTACGAATGAATTGTTATTTCCAAAGAAAATGAGATAATCAAAACTCTATTTGTGGCATACAAATCTATATAAAATATCCGAAAGTCATTCGAAACTAAAGTTTTTATGTATTAGCCAGTTGCAGTTGTTGTCGTCTAACAGAAAACTCAATTCCTTAAATTTTTGCTACAACCCAGCAACAATATATACGATTTTATTGCCTCACCCGCTCTAGGCCAATATTTTTTTTGGCTTGCAACAAAATGCAATATTGAAAACTTTAAATACAACCCATCAAATATCAACTGTCACATTAGCTCCAATTCAGCTCCATTTTATTTTTTATTTAAGTGATATAAAGCGTGGCATTTATACATATAGATTTATATATGTCCATATATGCGTGTGTGTGTCTATATATTTATATCGCAGTCCGTAACAATTTCCTGCCATTGCACTGACATAGACACGCTTGCCGAATTTATAGATAATTTTTCATGATTTTTCTTGACATTCCTGCTTCATTTTTTCTCTTTTTCTTTCTGCCCGTTGCAGATGCGCGCAGCAGGTCACAGCCGAACGGAGCTCACGATGATGAAGTTGCTGGCTAGGCGTCTCTGAACTGCTGACAGCCAAGTGCCAGTGCGTATCTCAAAGATACAAAGAACAACAACAACAGCAGCAACAACAACAACAACCAGAAGAAGTCTTAGCGCATTTCCGGCTGGACGCACCTACCTAACACAAAGTGGACGGCTGGCTACCTACGCACTCGCTGCTCGTCACTCGTCACTCGCCACTTTGCCACACGCTACTCGTCACTCGCTGCGACTCAGGCGCTGCCCCTGCAACTGGCCAGCTGCTATCAGTTCTGCCGTAACGCGCGGTCGCGACGGGCTGCAAAAAAGGTAAATAAAGTGAGCGCCGGCACAGCAACAATAACAATAACAACGACAACAACAATAACGACAACGAATATCGAACAACGAAACACAATCAATATATAAATAGAGAGTGCGGGAAAAGCGTGAAAAATCCGGCAAACGGTCGCCAACAATCCTTTTGCCTTGCGCAAATATTTGTGGAAACGTGATTGCTGTTGACAAAGTGGCGTCCGCATACGCACTCGATACTTTCAATTAGGCACGTTGCTTTTAAATGTGCCACAATGGCGCCGCCGTCCAGGACGACGACACCGTCAACGCTGCAACCACCGACGCGTTGTAAAGCCGCAGCCCTGGCTAAGCCACTAATCCTGCCCCAGCTGCTGCCCCAGCTCCTGCTGCTGCTGCTAGTGTTCGCCTCTACGGCTCAGGCTGAGCCGTATTCGGGCGGCTTTGGCAGCTCGGCCATTGCCAGCGGCGGCCTGGGCTCCGTTGGCATACACATACCCGGTGGAGGCGTTGGCGTCATCACCGAGGCCCGCTGCCCGCGGGTTTGCTCCTGCAGCGGTTTAACCGTCGACTGTTCGCATCGTGGATTAACTCAGGTGCCGCGCAAAATATCAGCGGATGTGGAGAGACTGTGAGTACAAAATTATTTATATATCAATATTTTTATGTGGGCTTAACATTCAAGTGGGAGCAATCCAAAAGCAAGCAAATCAACAACAACGACAGGCACAGTGTGAAGCAGGTTACATTTTCACTACGAAGCTCGAATGCTCTTCATATATATCTGTATATCTTTATACAATTTTATAGTTTGCCTTCCATACAAATATTTTCATTTCATTTATTTTAGTTTATATAGATATTTTTTATATATTTTATTTTTGATTACTTTATCTTTATTTAAAGTAGAGATAGTATAGTAAAGTTAAGAAAGATAGATAGATTGAATAGAAAGATAAAATAAAGTTAAACAATTCTTATAAATAATATACCCAGCTTCACATCAATATATGCCAGACAGTAGAGAAAGTGGAATCAAAACACAATTGCTAAGAATAAGATTAATAGCATTTATTCACTTATTTTTCGGTCAATGCACTTTTAAATGTCGAGTTATCAATTGTCAAAAATTAAACATGAATAGGTATTTATAAATTTGCTAAAATGAAAATATATCGGAAAAAATTATTAATTAAAACAAAATATTTTTTGATTTTTGTTTTTAATAAACAAAACCACGAGCCAGCGAAATAAAGATTTATAAAATTTGAGTATATGTTATAACATGTTACCCTTTTTACCCATTTTCAATAAGGTCAGGGTATAAAAAGGGCTGTCCAATTTTATAACATTTTATAAAATATATTTCTCCTTAAAACACAAGAGTTCCCAAGGACGCAAGTAAAGTCAATTGCACACAATAGCGAAAAAAATTGAGAAAAATACAGTCAAAACGTTCTTGAACGCACCGTGACCAATAGATAATTTTGGTCCGTTCAAGATGAGTGTCCATCTTATAGAGGGGGAACTACTGATTCATAATGTCATGAGAAAGGAATGTTTGTTATTAGAGTTTTCACTGTACATTACTAAAAATACGAAAATCTCTACGTAGACCACGTACTTCTGCAAAGAAACATACTCGCCTTTTGCATAATAATAGTTGAATACAAGCAATGTCATTTCCCACGTGGTTGCAAATATTTGTTATACTTACAAATCATTTTGAAAAAAAAGTACATTTTCTTTTTTAAAGACAATATTTATATTTACGGTTATATTTTAGGGCTCCATAAAAAACGAATTTAACAAATAATTAGGCTGGGCTATTCAAACGCAGAAACTCGTTCATTAAAGAATTCGTGAATGTCATTCAAATATAAGTATTTTCAAATGCAAATCAAATACGAAAATATTTGTCTATAAAAAATGTAAATGGTATAAAAAACAAAATGCTTAAATAAATAAAGCATAAAGCTTGGGGGTAAAATCTGCTCTAAAAAATAAACAAATATGCGGCGTTAAAAGCAACAAAATGTTGTAACTTTAAACTCAAGGTGAAAACGTTTAGTAAACAAATCTCAAAATTATGAAGATGAAACAATTTATTTTTCAAGTAATAGTTAAATAAATATAAATATATATAAGAAATAGGCGAGAAGTATAAATAGATTTAATTTATAAAAATTCCTGATGGTGCAAAAATAAATTGATTTTTTCCATTTATAAAAATCGAATGTGCAGAGCGATTAGAGCAGTTGTTGGGGTACTTACATAACTCACACTTTTCCATAGATATGATAATCAGGAATGCAAACACAGACACAGATATTTTCATGCCCTTCTATCTCTGCTGCTATTTGCATTGCGAACTGTATGAACTAGTTTCTAGCCTTGACAATGATCTATATTGAAGTTGAAGCGTATGCCTTGTTATATATGTAAGCATTCATAGTTACATATACATAACGCCAGGCGTTCCCAGCTGAACATTTCTGGTATTTGACTACTTAAACAACAAAAATCATCATAGATAAACAACAGCGGGCAGCGGGCAACGGGTGAAAGGCAAATAAAGCCGTGACCATTTCGTGTCGATAACTACGAAACAAATGGACAAATGTGTCTGAAGCAGGGCCAGCGGCAAGTCGGTTAAATCTGTCTCTCGGTCTGTCTGTCGTCTTGAGCTGTGTCTCCGGAGTCGTACATTAAATCGCCATTAAGTTTATTAATTGTCGCCAAAGGAGGCAACATAAGCGCATCAGCGCAGGCCTTGCAGCCGCACAGTGGTGCCTTTTCATATTTTTCGTTGCAAAAATTTACACGCAGTTGGCCATTGTCTAAACTTCTAAAGGACACGAAAACCATTGCTGCCAAATCTGGCTCTAACGATTCTTATATAATTTAAAAAAAATTTCAAATACTTAATTTGTGATGAACTACACTTGCCTATCCCCGGTGGTACATGGTCGGGCCGATTGGCTACTCTTCTGCGCCCCTGTGGTACATCTACGTACCGATTGACCATTCTCCGATTCGAGCCGATTGACCACCCTCCTAACCTCCGGTGGTACAACGCTGGGCTCATTGGCTACTTGCTTATCCCCCGGTGGTACTTGGCCGTGCCGATTGGCAGCTCTTCCCTGCCCCGGTGACCGGACGATGTACCGATTGTCTACTCGCCTATCGCCTGGTGGTACAAAAAAGGGCGACTAGCCACTCTGCTATCCCCTGGTGGTACAAAGCAGAGCCGATTGACCACCCTACTCGCTTATCCCCCGGTGGTACGTAGCCGTGCTGATTACCATTCTTCTGTGTCCTCGACGACGTACCGATTGACCACTTTTCTATACCCTGGTGGCACAAAGCAGGGCCCCTTGACCACTCTGCTAACCTTCGGTGGTTCACAACGGACTAATTGTCCCCTCGCCCAACCCGTGCTTGTACGACGCCGTACCAATTGCTCACTCTTCTATCTGCTGGTGGTACATTGCATTTATTCAATTTGCCACAAACTTTGATTATTTGCGGTTCAATGCCGTCCCACAGTGCGGCCGCGGCCACTTTGGCAATTGTTGCATGCAACTTGCAAACGGGCAAATGCATTAAGCCAGCGTCTGCGTTCGCGGACGCCACATAAATTAACGCGCCGGCAATTAGCAAGTGTATGCAAAATGCCACAGAGCAGCGCCCCAAACGCAACGACCCGCATCGCACCGCCTCCGCCCCCGCGCCCATCAAATCAAGCCCCAACAGACCTGTAGACCGCTGCGCAGCGACCTCAAAAGCGGCAGTTGCAGCCGCTGCTGCTGCTGCTGCTATTATTGTTGTTGTTGTTGTTGTTTTTTCTCTACATAAATTAATAACAGATATCAACGTCGGACAACAACAACAACAACAACAAGAACAACACCATCAGCATAGCCCAGTTATAAGCAGTCAGGCGCCCCGAACAGTCAAATAGCGCTCAGGGACACATTTGTTTTATGCAAAAACGAGCGAAAAAAAAAAGAAAAATTATACGGAAAAAAAAACAGAGGAGAAAAATGAAAAATGAAAAAGCAAATGCAAAAACAGAAACAGAAAACATATCAACGTGCACGGCATATTTGCATTTTAAAATACCAAGCTCGTGTCAGGCACAGGGTGTTTCACGGCGCGCTGCGGAAAAGTTGTTATGGGAAAACCTGACCGAGTGACAGATTGCAGATTGAAGACGGAAAAGAACTGAATGTGAAAACAAATGTGTGTGTCGTAGTACACCAAATAGGAAAACGCACTTGAAAATGAATAAAAAAGTAAATTGAAAAACTATGAAATGCGCAGAAATGTGGTTGCAAACGCAACATGTTAAAAGAACTTACGAAAATAAATACACAAAAAAGAAAAGGTAACAAATCCAGAGAGCAAAAAAAAAAGTGGTTGAAATATGAGTACTACTTATAAGGAAATTAATTGAAAGACGAAACATGAGCTACGCAAATGCGCGAGGGGAACATACTTAAAAATATGATTGACAGTTTGATTTAAAAACCATAAAAGAAAAAGTATTCAGAACTTATGCAGCTCAAGTATTTTAATGAATACTTATGGCGAAGAGGTGGAGATTCAAATACGATACAGCAATTGAAAATAATCTTTACATAAGCGGGTTTTAACTAGGTGGCTGCATATTAAATTGATTTTGAAGCGAACAATTAAATTGTGTTTATTTTTTTGATTTATCTGAAGGGAATTGTTTTTTAATAAGTAACTCTGAAGACAATAAAGTTAGGATTGTTAGAGAACTTGAAAGAACTGTAGAATTGATTAAAATATAATATAATCATAATAATAATATAATAAATACTAAAAGAATACAATAAAAAATGAATATATACGAAATAAATTTACTAAAAAGAGTAAATAATCAATCGAAATATTGAGCTGCAAAGCAAATAATAAATGTATTCTATAAACAATAATAAAAATAAATCTGAAATATATTTTACATGGACACAAATCTTGTAGCAGACATCGAATCGTTTTAAAAATTGTATTGTTTCCATAAATATGTTATTTAATAACAGTGTTATGTTTTTTTTTTTATATTTTAAATGGCAAATAAATGCAATTTTAGGTAGAAAATCGGGTCTTGCTTTTCCTTATCGAATAAGAATTTTTTTTTCTTTGTGCCGTGAGCATTTCCTCTGTAATTTATTTGCATTTATTTAATTTTAGTATAGCTCCTACAAACACATAAAAATTACGCGAATAAAGTAAACCCTTTATTAAAAATATAATAAAAGCCTGTCGAAAGGCTTTGCTCAACTAGTCAAGCAGCATTAATTCAAGGATTCTTTCAGACATTTTAATTGATGTGACGTTAATGACTGACTGCATACATACATAAAAAGAACTGTTTATATTAGCCATGATAATCATCAGTAAGGTTGAGTCACCCTAATGCGAACATAGGTTCCATGTGGAACTAGCAGAACACACACACACAGACCCTCACACACAGGCCGTGCTCCGTGTGTGCACATCAAATATTGAACATGCCCACAACTATTGGCAGGCAGGCAGGCAGGCAGGCACTAGAATAGCAAAAACAATGCTCAAGCGCAAAACTGGGGCCAGGGCAAATGGAGCCCAGCCCCAGCCTAGAACCAGACCAGTGTTGCCAAATGCCGTTTCAAAAAAGTAACTGAATTCAATGTTAAAAACAGCTAAAAATAGCTAAAAGTGTGCAGGAACTTGTCGGCGGAGCCAAGAACTAGCCAAATCAGCTTACAGTCCAAACTACTTCCCGCTGACAAACTCCACAAATTGCCTCATTTAGCTAGAAAATAGCTAAATTGACAACACTGAAAGCCAGAGCAGGGCCCAGTCAAGCCGACTTGCCATTTAATTACACAGCAGCGACAGGGCTATGGAAATGAGCATAGTTACTGAGTGAAAGAGATAGAGAGAGTCAGAATGAGAGGGAGGATACAATTAGAATGGAAGCTTAGCCGGCTGTCTGTCTGTCAGTTGAGCAGCCACCCACACGTTTTATACAATTGACACGAAAACAGTTTTGCATATATAATTTTGGCCCAGGTCAACACGAACTTCATGGCCTAACCCAAGCGAACTTAACCCCAATTTGTGCCCGAAAACCCTTTCACACCTCAAGAATTAAAACAAAAAAGAATGGAATACAAAAAGGTGAGCCTAATTTATAGCTGCCAAAATCTTCAAAGACAGGCAGGCAATCAAAGCAAAGCAAAAGCAAAAAAAAAGAAAAATATATATGAATCGAGCAACTGGAGCTGAAATCTAATTGGACCCTACAAAAACCTACAAAGCTTTTTTCTTGGCCAATTTGTGAATGCTTCAAAAGATTTAATGAACTTAAATGTTAAATGCTATATGCTAAATGTTTAATTATAACGCAGCGCCCAAAAACGACAAAAGAAAAAAAGTTAAGCACACACAAAGGCAAACGACTTGAAAAAAAAAAGCTTACGATTATTATAATTATTTTTGAAAATATTTTGAAAAATGTCTAGCAATTAGAAGAGACTTTTGTGTTGTTTTTTTTTTTGTGTTATTTTTATTGTCTTTTGTTTTAAGTCTATGTCGTATCGCTGTGGGTCCATGTAATCAGTTGAATCTAAGCAAGAGATGCCCACATCTTGCCAAGATATTAAGCTCATTAAAAACTTTGCTGGTGTGTGTAGCAGCTTGGGCCTGGGCTTAAATGTACACTGCGAGGAATGAATCGAACCATAAAACTGACAAATTAAGCAAAAAAACAGTAGTTCGATTCGGCATATTTATTTCAAAAATGTTTTTTTGATAAATAAAAAACTTTTGAGGGCAAAGCAGTTAAGACTGGTGCCTCAAACATTGGGCAAAAGATCGTATTTAAAATGAATGATTACATCTAGGATTTGATACTATTAAGCACGCTTTCCTAAATCTAGAATTTGCTACTATTAAGTATTTCTTCCTTAATATTTATTTTCCTACAATAAGGTATTTCTTTTTTCATCAATAATTTGATACAATTGAGTATTCCTTCTTACTGGACAAATATCCATTTCTACAAAATTGATTCTATTAAAAGTGCTATGAACTAGGGACTGAGAAACTATATGAAAATGTATAAAACTAAACCACAGTGCCCTTGTCACCGACTATCGATATATCGTGCGGTTGCTAATATCGATACTTTTGCCGATAACTTGTTCACCGACTATCAATATATCGTGTGGGGGGCTACTATCGATAACTGTGCAGCTCTAGTTACTTATTTTTTTATTTTTAATTTGACTTTACTTTTCTCTTATTCATGAAGTTTGCACCTTGTTGATAATTAATTTTGCTCAGTGTACCCGCTCATCGGCAACTTGATGGGAGTTTCATTAAGGCTTAAGCTGAAAAATATTTCTCGTTTGTGGCTGCGGCTCTGGGCCCAGACTGAAGGTCTTACTACCTGTTGTTGCTTAGCTCTTGCCGCTCTTGGCTCTTGGCTGCCAACCTTACTCAAAAAGCAGCTGAGCTCTAGCTGAAGCTGAGGCACAGGCACAACGAGTTGTTGTATTTGTTTTTGTTGTTGTTGCTGCTGTTGGTGTTGTTGTTATTGTTGTTGCTGTTGTTGCTGGCTGCGCATGCGCACACGGTCTGTGGCTCTTTTCAGGTATTTTGTATCTCTTAGGTTGCATTTCATTGTTATGACATCTACAGGTAACAAATTTTCTGTATCTTTGTCCGTCTGTCTGCGCCACCATAAAAACAAGTAAATAAAAGGTATGTTGCAGTCGGGTGTATCCGACTGCGTAATACTTGTTTACAGTTTAAATATACATAGATTTTTTACGATTCGTTGTGGAGAATATATTATTGGCTAACTCTTTAGAGGAGCCGATCAGCAGACTAAGAGAGATATTGATCTCTTGAGAAGATATAAATTTTTGCAATTTGAGGGGTAACTTTTTGAATCGATATTACAAGAAGGTGTCTATTTTGTCTAAATTTTAGGGAATATATAGTTTTATATGGGGTAACGACATATTTTCGCACGACATATCTCCGCTGTTCTATAAGCGACGTATCTCCGCGCGAAGTTATTTCGTTTTTGAGCTATGTTGCTATAAAACGACATAATCTCGCCATGGTCATCGGCAGAGTTATCGTTTCAGAACATCATTATTTTGCCAGAAAAAAAAGCGACATTATTTCGCTGACAAAATGTACGGGGTGGATATATTTGGACGGATTTATGTCGCTGTGTTTTTTTTATATATATCTTCAAAATTCCAAGAGCCCAGCTTCAGGAATAGCATAAAACCAATATACCCTTCACTCTGTGTGAACGGGTATATAAGAAACAGGTTTTGTTCCTGCGCCTGTGCGTTCCATGCGCATGTTTAATGATTAAATATCATATTTTTGTTATCAGACAAAAGGCTGCGTTTTCAACAGCAGCATCAGCCACAGCGTCCCCCCTTTCGCGCTCGCTCCCCCCTCTCTCCCACTCCCTCTCTCTCTCTCTCTCCCTCGGCGAATGCATCTGCATCTGCATCTTCTCCAGCTGCTTGCATTCATATCTCAGATTGCCGTTGTAGTTGTTGTTGTTGTTGTTGTTGTTGTTGATGCGCCTTGTCTTACAAGCAATTAAAAATTATTATCGGCGCGCACATGGCTCAGCATTTGTCCAGCTGATTCCGATTAGCGAGCTACTTGGTTTGCTGCAACATAATTAAAGACAATCCCTAATCGAAAGTAAAAATCTCTTAATTGTGTTTTCTCTTTTATTTTTCATTTCCAGCGATTTGCAGGGCAACAATTTGACCGTGATATATGAGACGGACTTTCAGCGCTTGACCAAGCTGCGAATGCTGTAAGTAGAAGCTGTTTGCTTTTAGTTTTTATTTAATTACATAGCTGGCAATAATTCATAAATATTTATATATATTTAATTGTAATTATTGTACCTATTGAATTTAACAAAATTTTTACTGGAACCATTTCGAGTTCTTAGCCAATTTTATTAGTTTTCAAATTAATTTTAAATTATTAATTATGAAATATTTCCACAACAAATTAAAAAGGAAAGGGAAAGTCTAGCTATAAATTTTAAAAAACTCCCTTATCACAGGGCTCATTAAAATTATAATGTTTACCAGTTGACCTTCAGCTTTTTGAAACCCATAATAGACGTATTCCAAATTGAATTACAATTACAGTCGTTTCTTAACTTTTGCCAAAAATTTATCATTACGCAATGCAAAATATTGCATGCAAATTGACACCAAATGTCACGATAACGTTTAACATAAATTTAAACAGTAAATTGAAATTGAAAGTTTGTGCAAAACAGGTCTCACTACATGTGTATCTACTGTACGCTGATAGGCAACAATTTATTCGTATTTTGCAATACGCAATATGCGCTAGTTACAAGATATCAACAACAAATTCTTAATAAACTCTAGAATGATAGGAATCTGATAACAGAATGTGATAATATTAGATAAGTATAAACGTATTAAACAAGAAACTTCAACTGTGAGATTTTTAGGCTAATCAAAAGTTTTTAGAACTGGGTCTTGGAGTTGTTGTATAATTAATTTTATATTACTTTACTATACCTCATTAATATTAAGGCTCTGAGTTGAAATTGGGGAAAGTGGCTCGGTCCACTGCGGCATCACAATGGATCATTTATTATATAGGTCGAGGGCTAACCGTCAACGGATATTACTTTAATCTAACCTAACCTAACCTCTCCTTTACTAGTCTAACCTCAACTAAGCTAATATAATCAAACCTAACCTAACCTAACCCTACCTAACCTAACCTAGCCTTACCTAACCTAACCTAACCTCATCCAACCTAGCATAAGCTCATCTAAGTTCACAAAACCTAAGGTCACCTAACCTAACGTCAACTAACTTAACCTAACCTCACCTAAGCTCACCTAATCTAACCTTACCTAAAGTTCTGAAATCTTTATGTTATAGATCTTTACGTATATATTCCTATATCCTATTCACGCTAGTGACGAAGACTTAGTTTTAAAATCAATAACCTGAGCCTTAAACTTTGTAAACTTTTAAAAAATAAGTTATACTAACTGTTCTTAATATGTTTTCATTATTTATATTTCCACAAATCATATTCTAATGTCTATTATTATATATATTTATTCTCTAGTCAATTGACGGACAACCAAATACATACCGTTGAGAAGAATGCACTGCAAGATTTGGTTTCGCTGGAGCGACTGTAAGTAGAGATCTGCGCATATTTCACATGTTGGGATAGCAAACCAATCGAATGAGTTGCTGATTTGATGCTAGTGCATGAGATTTTTCAAACTAATTCACTTTTTACTAACCACATTTGCTGCTCTTTATTGACCTAGATACACATAGCTCGTAGCTATAAAAAAAAATGAAAATAATAATAATATATATACTTATATGAAAAACTATCGTTCAAAATTCGATTTAGTTGTTGCGATACTTTGAGTTTTGAGTTTAACTTTTTGTATCTTTTTTCTCGTTTCGTTTTATGCATATCTCTCTACTTTCGTTGCGTTTCGTTTTGCGTATCTAATATGCTCGTACACCAAAACAAAAAATACCAAAATCAATAAAACACCAAAATAAAAATACCAAAACAAATTACCAAACACTTCACTCTATAAATCAGACGCCTAAACAACAATCGACTTAAGGCAATACCTGAAAACTTTGTGACAAGTTCAGCGAGTCTTTTGCGATTGTAAGTAATCAACGTAGTCATGTAGCGACTTTTTATATATATTATATCTACTTACCTACATATAGTATGTAGCAGTATGTAGCCCCAATAGATAACAAACACTTACTGACTCTCAAATACTTCCTCTTCCTGCCTGCCTGCCTGTCCGCTGACTCCACCTGTCTGCCTGCCTACCTGCCTGCCGCCTGCCTGCAACCTCACCTGAACTTACAGGGACATCTCGCACAATGTCATCACAACGGTCGGCCGGAGGGTCTTTAAGGGCGCCCAGTCGCTGCGGAGCCTACAGCTGGACAACAATCAAATCACATGTATGGATGAGCATGCCTTTAAGGGATTGTTGGAGCTGGAAATACTGTAAGTGTTGAGCAATGCAGTTAGGGATGGACAAACATGGGTGCGCTCTGATCATTTAAAGAGTTTAAAAATAGTTTTTCTGTGTTGACTAAAGCTAGTTAAGTAACGACTTAGTGTTCTGAGTGTAAAAAATGCGATAACAAATGGCAAACAAATTAGTATAGTGTTGTTAAATTTAAAATGACAAAAGTGCATAAGTTGCGCAGTGCTGTGAAACGATTAACAACTCTTTTAATATTAAAGGAAAACGTATTCTAACCGAAAAGATTATTCTATACAATCTTTAACATATTCTGAATGATGCTCGTGTGTTTTCCCCATTTCTTAGTTATGTCATGCTAAAAATTATATTACCAGTTATAAAAAGTTACGGGCGTATATCACGATTAAATGTGTATAGTGTTGGAAAACTCCAGAGTAAATGACAAGCAAACAAAAAAGTGTTATTAAAACTAAAATGACAAAAGTGCATCAAATATGACAACTTTGAGCAGTGCTGTAAATTGACAAACGAATCATAAAATGTTGAATGAAAACTTGCTCTAAGCGTAAAGTTTCTAAGCAGCTTTAAGATTCAAAATGATGCTCGTATGTTATTGCCTATCCCTAAGTTCAGCTTGGCAAAGCGCCAAAGATGCATTCACTTGATAATGCAATAATGCAACTTATTTTCCACAACCTTACTCTTAACCCATCTCCCTCTCTCTCTCTCTCTCTCTCCCCCTCACGGCCGCTTCTCTTCTTCTCCCTTCTCTTTTCCTTTCGCACAGCACACTGAATAACAATAACTTGACCGCTCTGCCGCACAATGCCTTTGGGGGATTGGGAAAATTGCGAGCGCTGCGCCTCTCGGATAACCCGTTCGCCTGCGATTGCCATTTGTCCTGGCTGTCGCGCTACCTACGCAGCGCACCGCGCCTCGCCCCCTACACACGCTGCCAGTCGCCGTCGCAGCTGAAGGGCCAAAACGTGGCGGACCTGCACGATCAGGAGTTCAAATGCTCAGGTATGGTACCACATGACAGTTTCCCCACAGATCGTACGCTGCGGGCGGCACAGCCACCCCAAAAATGGACAAATGTCGTGGGGCCTCGTAAGCCATATGCCAAATTAATTAGTTTTATATGCCAGTCGAGCGGGCGCGCAGGGGGCTCACACAAAACAAAGCATTGTAAATCATAAGCAGTCATATGAGGGCACGCCCCCGCTGTGACGCCCACTCAAGCCAATAACAACAACAACAGCAGCAGCAGCAAAGTGTACAAGCGGATATTAAGGAAGGGAAGTGGGGGGCATCATCAGCATCAGCAGCATCATCATCGTGTGTTTGCCAAAAACGTTTAACGCCGTCATCGCTTGCTTGATTGGGATGCAGATGCTCTGAACGTTGCTGCGGGCACCAAATCAGCATTTGGAAAGCCGCCTCCCCCATGGATCCGACTCCAAGCTCAAAACTCCAACTGAAACTCTGGCGTTCAATGAAGCGGAAAATGTGCGCCAAACGATGCCATGAAACAAGTTTCTTCCAACCATTGTACTTGTTATGCTCTACGGCATAAAGAGTTGCTCCGTTCAGTCACTCAGTTGGGTATTTAAGCTGGCCATAAGGAATGTTTAATGAGGCGTTTATTTGATTTGATTTGATTTAAGTTTATTTTTATGTTTATTGCCTGCCCTTTGACACATTTCATTATTATTGATTGAATTTAGTTGAGACTTGAGCTTAATGCTCTCTTAATGGCTGAACATTTACTGTTATAGCTTGGGCATAGTTAAAAGAAGATTAGGTTTGCAGTGGAGAAAGATACCAATAATAAATGATAATCGTTTAGGCAAGTCGAAAAGTTAAGAGAGAAAAAGTTGCTAGAATCAAAGTTGTTGCCAGAGAGAAATAGTTTATCTTTACGCTTCCAAAAGTAAATGAAAAAAGAAATCGATCTGAAGATGTCAGTAAATAAATACTTTTAGGTTCTGTGCCTCTTTGATGCCAAAAAGTTCACATAGAGTATCTGAAATTCGTCATGTTAGTTAAACTTGAGTTTTCTTAGCTTGTTGTTGACTTTCGTTTTGTATACAAAATGCTATGGAATTATGTGGGTAAACATTTATGACCGGCGGCAGCTGTGGCTCCAGTTGTAGCTGTGCCAACCGCCGCATCTTGGCGCGCTGCAGTAGCATTCATAATTACGTGGTTGCCGCTGCTGCTGCTGCTGTTGCTGCTGCTGCTGTGGATCAAATCAAAGCCAAGAGTGGCTCTGACTGGCTCTTGGGCTGAATGAATCGCTGTGCAGCCAGCTAAATATGTTGAGTTTGCTTTACACTTGCCACTTGCCGCTTGCCATTGCAGGTCTCACCGAGCATGCGCCAATGGAATGTGGCGTGGAGAACAGCTGCCCCCACCCGTGTCGCTGTGCCGATGGCATTGTCGATTGCCGTGAGAAGAGTTTGACGAGTGTGCCCGTTACGCTGCCGGATGATACAACCGAACTGTAAGTTTAACCACATGGTTAAAAGAAAAAATGAAAATCTATCCGCATGTTAATTCTTGTCTTTTTGTTTTGCAGCCGCCTGGAGCAGAATTTCATCACTGAACTGCCGGCGAAATCCTTCTCCAGCTTTCGTCGACTGCGACGCATCGATCTGTCCAACAACAACATCTCGCGCATAGCACACGATGCGCTAAGTGGCCTAAAGCAGCTAACCACTCTGTAAGTAGACGGCACATTAGCAACAAGTAGCTGTTGCCAACCAAATGTGCAGTCGCTTCGCTGAGTGTGCGTGTCCTTACGTGTGTGTGTGTGTACCTTTGAAGTGGTGTCAGTCCGTCACACACTCCTGACAGCCACTGGTGGGCCTAAGGGTCTGAGCCCAGGCTTGAGGGGCTAATCGGCCTATGCTAAGCGTTGGCAACACCGCAAGGCATCAGATTACCTGTGTTGGCCACAATGTGCCCCCACGTGTCTCTCTGTGTGTGTGTGTGAGTGAGTGTATGTGTGTGCCAAACCAGTTGCCGCCCGCAATGACAACAACACGAATCCACCGCAACAACAACAAAAACAACCAGGACAACAGGCAGGCAGCACATGCTCTGCCTGCCTGAATTTTTTTATTTGTGCTCTATTCATTATGCTTTTGTGTAGGGTATTTTCATTTTGTCTGGGAATGTGTAACGCTAGAAATTTATAGACTAATTTAATTATCAGTGTCAACAGTCCAGTCGATATAGCCATGTCCGTCTGTCTGTGATAAACTACAAGAGATTTAAAACTGTAAATAAGCATTCTTCTAAGCCATACGCAGAACGAGCTTTTCTAATATTTTTTATTTTCTTTCGATATATATATCCTTCCTTTTTCAAAGTATTGATAAGTATCAATATATATAATTGATTTCTTTTTAACATAACTCGAAGATTATTCAAGCTGAATGAAGGTTCTCGTCGATTCAAAATTTTGCACATTTTGGTGACTTCCTTCCATTCCCTTTAACATTGGAAAAAACGCAATATTATAGGTAGATCGGTTTGGTATATACACTCACTTGGGTGTCACCCTTATGCATTGAAAGTTTCGTTAAAATCGGACAATAAGCTCCGATTCTATGCAAACAATTAACTGCACAGCAAGCGACGTGTGTGTGAGTCTGTTTGCGTGTATGTATGCATGTATAAAAGAAATCTGGAATGTTAGTTAAGTTAACTAGGGTATCTCCTAGTCGAGCACGCCCGCCTAGACCATGCTTACCTCTTTTCTTTATTGTTTTCTTTTTTGTACACTGATTTTTTACTTTTATTTTTGTCGCTTTCAGCGTGTTGTATGGCAATAAAATAAAGGATTTGCCCTCGGGCGTATTCAAAGGACTTGGCTCGCTGCAGCTGCTGTTGCTGAATGCCAACGAGATCTCCTGCATACGCAAGGATGCCTTCCGCGACCTGCATAGCCTCAGTTTGCTCTCGCTCTACGACAACAACATACAGTCGCTGGCTAATGGCACATTCGACGCCATGAAGAGCATCAAAACGGTGTAAGTACCACGCCCCCGAACACCCAAATGCCCACGTCCTTTGCCCACTAAGCCCTCTACCACCTACTACCCCCTCCCTTACCAACCACCCGCCCAGCCATTGAGACGCTGGCTTTGGCATGGCTTGCCGAGTGCATGTTGCAAGTGGGGAGACGCCCCTTAGAACAGCCTTTGAATGGAGGAGCATGGAGCACGGAGCACCCAGGCACTTTGGTGTTAAACCTCTGAAGTGCATTTAGCAGTTGCTTTTAACTTGGCAGCAACAGCGGCGCGCGTTGACATTTGTTTAGCAGCCAAACAACATCGGCAAACGCCTTTTCTATGGCCCATCCAGTAATATCGGCTGTGAACCGTAAAGATGTTCCACGAACAAAAGATGGGACGCTTTCTGTAGGCCAAATGGAAAGGAGGGGCTCGTGTGGGTGGCTAGGAGAGGGGGGGAGGAGGGGCAAGTTTGAGCATCGATAAATGCGCTGACTTTAAGTGCTCTGTGCGGTTCTTAAGATGGTATACGACGCGCTTGAGTGGGTTAAGTATTTGTCAGGGTTGTCAACTTGAAAGTAAGCAAAAAAAACTAAAGAGAAAAAGCCTTACAGTAGCTTCTTTTAAAAACAAGTTTTAAGTAGTTCTGTTTTTCTTTTGCCATAGAGAAGTCTGTCAAAACTTATCATTTTTAAGAATATTTAAAGAAAGAAAAAAAAAACCAATATTGAAATAGACTTATATGAAGCAGGACACGCCATTGATGCTTTGTAATTAAAAGTGTCATTTTAAAAGTTTTAAAACATATTCATTTTTATCATATTGTGTTAAAAATAGTTTGAAACTTCTCTAGAAAATAAGTTTAGCTTTAGCTAATGAAAAACATAGAACTCTCATTCATTTTAAGAAGGGAGATTCAAAATCTTGGCTGATAAACATACAAACAAATTTGCAGTTGCATTTAAAACACTAGAGAAAGATAAAAGCTTAAATATTGGGGCTAACACAATTTGGGGATTATGCTATAAGCTGTAAAAAAAAAGAATAATGCAAGATATTGTGTTTTTAATTCATCTTAGACAAAATTGTCCGCTTCCTAGTGTTTAAAAAAATGTTTTCTATTTATACAAAAAGATTTTTATATAGTCAATAGTATATATACTTCTATTGAATATCAAATTTTATTCTTGAAGACGAGAAAAGCATCTTTACAAAATTTCCCTGAAAAAAAAACGAAAGTTTTAATCCATCGGAACTACGGTCTCATATTTATTATAAAGATTACCCGATTTCTGAAACCCAAAACAATTTTTTTTGGCATTTACAAAATAAATATTTTACATATTTTTTAGGATCTGGAATAAAAAACTTAATTTCTGAATTTAAACCATACAAAATGCAATCTTTATAAATTACAAAAAGAATGTTAAATTTGTTGTAAATGTACAACTTTTAGCGAGTTTTAGTTGTTTAATTACAAGATGATTTAAGCCAACTTTAGTTGCCAGCTATTTTATGGGCCCTCTGTCAGAAAGCATTAACAGGGACAATTCTTGGGCTTGGGATTGCCTTTGAAAATAGTTTTCAAAACGTTGACGACAACAACTCCAACAACAACAACAACAGGAAACAGCGGAAACGTTGCAGCCGCAGGGCTCGTGCACTTTTAAGACGTCTCAAGCCTCCATCCACAACAGTTTTGCCTTTCTTTGCGCCCCAGCCCTCCCCCTTTCTTTCTCTCTCTCTCTCTCCAGCAATTCCCTACGCTCCATTCAGTACAAATGCTCAATGCTACTTTCTTGCTTTCTTTCCATTTACAACACTACAAAATATGCTTTCATACATACATATATATATATAAATGTATTTGTATAGACATTTGGCCAAGAATCCTTTCATTTGTGACTGCAATCTGCGCTGGCTGGCCGACTATTTGCACAAAAATCCCATAGAGACAAGTGGAGCACGCTGTGAGTCACCGAAGCGGATGCATCGCCGGCGCATTGAATCGTTGCGCGAGGAGAAATTCAAATGTAAGTGCGCCCGTCGGGCACAAGACAAGAAAAAGAATATGTCTTAACTTTGCTGGCCCGCCCGCCCACATCCACCTCACCCACCACACCCACTCACCCAAACCACTTGACAATTGTGTGCAGGTTCCTGGGATGAATTGCGCATGAAGCTATCCGGCGAGTGTCGCATGGACTCGGACTGCCCGGCCATGTGCCAGTGCGAGGGCACAACCGTTGATTGTGCGGGACGTGGACTCAAGGAAATACCACGCGACATTCCATTGCATACCACAGAGCTGTAAGTTACCAAGTCAACTCTTAGAATACTTAATACCATAAATTATAATAAGTGTTATTCTCCCTAAATGGTCGCCTCTTAACTCAGTTCTTAAAATCTTACCAAATTAAATTTTTGTGGAAAATTTACTTCAAATTATGTTTCATAGTTAAGTGGATTTAAATGTGGCACAGGTTTTATGAAGAAACATTTTTCAATTAAGAAATCCAAGCGACAACACTCTGTATTTCTGTAATTTGAACTGGCGACTTTTCGGAAAAAGGTTCAACTTTAAAAAAAACTTTTAAAATGGTTTTAAAGAAAAAACACAAACGAGCATCAGAGAGTGTTATTAGTTATTAGTATAAATCTTATATATATATTGTAGATCAGCTTTTGTTTCAAAAAGCTGGGAACCCCTTGCATTTGAACCTGTGCCCGACCAAAAAGTCACATGAAAGTAAATACAAAATGCAACAGTTGCGAGAGAACTTTATACAGTTTTAGAAAAAATAATTCATTTCGTACTCCTTTAACAACAAAAAAGCTTGTATATTCTTAAACTTATAAATTTTATTTCAAAAATTTAATATTTAGTAGCCATTTCACAAAATTAAAATTGGTAGACTTAAAAAATATATTACTTATTTTATCCGAAACAGTTATCAAATATTAATTAAAAATTTCCTTCTTGCAAGCTTGTTTCTTGCTTTTACATCTGTAATAAGCTGCTTATATATTTAACATGACCTTTAACCCGAGTGTATATCCATTTATCACAGTTTGCTCAACGACAACGAATTGGGTCGCATTAATTCGGATGGTCTCTTTGGTCGATTGCCGCATCTGGTTAAACTGGAGCTGAAGCGCAACCAGCTCACCGGCATTGAGCCGAATGCCTTTGAGGGCGCATCGCGTATACAGGATTTACAATTGGGCGAGAATAAGATTAAGGAAATCTCCAACAAAATGTTTCTCGGATTGCATCAGTTGAAAACGCTGTAAGTGGACAGAATTACAAATGAAATCAAATACACGAAAGAAGAGCTATATTCGGCATCCCGAACATAAAATACCCGGGTAAAAATTTGGCTCATGCTTTTGCAGATATGTGAGGAGATTATTAAAGCTCGTATTTGCTAGGTTTGGTTGTAATATTTTGAAGAACGGAAAAGTTTGTCATACAAAAATACATCTTATGATCGATAAAGCTTATGATAAAGCGGTCCGATGATGAGAGGTTTCCGTTTTTATGTAAGGAGCATGGGTAAATCTAGTGTATGCCAAATTGGGATAAGATTTCTTGATAAGCAAAATACTTTTTCATAAAAGAACTTCATATTAAAGCTATATTTCCTATGGTAACTATATGATATAGTGGTCCGATCCGACTGATTTCGATATATGCACTGGCTGCAATAGATAGAAAAATGGTATGCCGAAACGGAGAGGATAGTTAGCATACAAGCAGACAGAAGGGCATGGCTATATGGACTCAGCTGTTGATACTGGTCAGGAATATATATATATACTTTATGGCTCTTCCTTCTATGCGTTTCACCTGATTTTGTAGTCCGATCAGACTGACTTCGATACATGTACTGCCTGCAATAGAAAGTTGCATCTCTGCAAAATGTCATGACGAAAACGGAGAGATTAGATTTCATTTAAGCAGGTCAGCAATATATATATCAGATCAGGAATATATATATATATGTACTCTCACCTCTTAAAGGTTACTTTAAACTTAGTCGATTGAGTTGCATAGTGCATAGCTTACCGTTACGAAATTGCGAGTTTGCAATACCGAGAAGACGGACAGACAAATATGTTAAACTACATATTTTAAATAAACTTTTTATTATCTTTCTAACTATTGCAGCAATCTGTATGACAATCAAATTTCTTGCGTAATGCCTGGATCATTCGAGCATCTCAACTCGCTGACGTCTTTGTAAGTATATCTCTCCTCCCTAATTGAGCAGAAATTCCAATTGCTCAGCCAGAAGCGAACTTTGTGGCATCTGATGCGTCTGCTGGCTATGCATAGCAATTAAAACTGTGCCAAGTGGCCAAGCGGTGCGGCATGCACTTCAATAGATAAATGATTTAGCTTTTGGCATTAATTGGCCGCACTCTCAAACCACCTTCGCAACGCACCGCACCGCCCATCCTGCCCTGCCCTTAAATTCTCTATCACAGGGGGCAGAGGCACATAAAATGAGGTTAATGGTTTTGATTGTTCTCTGGCTGAACTTCATCTGATTGCCCGCGTCTTTCACATCAAAACAGAACCTGCTGCGGCTGCTGCTGCCGTTGCTGCTGCTAATGTTGATGCTACTTGCTGCGGCTGTGGCTGTTGCTGCCGCTGCTTCTGTTGCTGCTGCTGCTGTTGCTTTAACAAATCAGTTTTTCTTCGTTGCATGCCACCAACTATTGTATATAATTCAATTGAACTTCAATTTATAGCAGGGCTGCCTACGATAAGAGCTACACACACGCACACACATCTCATGGCGCTCTCCCGCTGTCTTCATGTAACCCAACTCTGGGTGTGTGCGTGTGTGTGTTGTGTGTGTGTTGCTCCACATTGTTGTGCACGCCTGCTGTAAATCAACCCTCACAAAACACACTCACAAACACACTTGCGAGTGTGCGCTGCCTTCGATGATTTAATTAATTAAAATTGAGTTCAATAAAGAGCGCAAAACCATATACAGTACAACCTCACTAAGTTGAAAAGTAGTACAAAAAAATAGTTCACTATATTTTGCTTTGCTTATACATTTTTGAATTCCAAATTGAGATAAATTGTAATTGCTTTTTATAAACGGATGGCAAATGGAGAATGCATTAAAATAATTTTTCAAATACAGGCAAACCTAGCTAACATGAACTTGCAGGCGCTTGTGAAATTAGAAGCTTTGAATTGATATTTTGTTGTCTTTTAATTTTATTTTGATTTTTAACTGGAAGTTGACCTCTGGAAAATAATCGATTAATCCAATTAATCTTTCATTTAAACAAAAATCTAACTCAAATATTATGTTATACATAATTTAATAGTTATTTAAAAGATATTGAGTTTTTTTGAATGATTTTTAAAGAAAAGGGAAGAAAAGAAATGATTGCTTGAATATGAATAGACTCGCAAATCAACCCAAATTCCGCTTAAGAAAAAATTAACCATATGCTTCTCAGTGCTGCTCAGCTAAGGTTCAACCTAATTGGGTTTACTGTACGCACAGGTCGGGTGTGTCGGTTGTGCGCTGGGCTGCTGGGAGGTGTTGTGGTTCGTTTGCCGCATCTAAAATTATTGTAAAATTCATTTAACTAGCTAATAAATAGCATCAATGAAAGTCATTAAGTGCTGTGCACCACACGACACCCACATGCTCCATCCATTCAGGTGGCTGGGACGAGGTGGAGGAGGAGGTGAAGGAGGAGGAGACCAGTAGGTGCCAGGCCAAAAGTGTTAGTTAGTTGCCTGCGGCCTTTCGCTCACCCAGCTGCCAACGTCTGATAGCATGACAAAGCAGCATTGCTTATTAAATTAGTCTGGACTTGGACTTGTGTAACGTTCGGAATTGCCAATGTAATTTGTGAGCCATTGTTTCGTCCGCTTTCGGCCGGGCGCATAATTAAGGGCCTTATAGCACTTATGCTGCCACCCCCCCCCCCCCTCACACACACACACGCAAGCTGCAATATGTGTAAGTGAAACATATGGCTCTGTCAAACAATTTGCATGCCAAAAGTGCAAAATTGGAAATAATTAATGAAACCATTCAAAGCTGTGTGTGGCCAAGCTGTTATGAAATATCAGTGTGGCCATAATGCAATTACAGCTAGTGTCAATCAAATATTCAATTAAGTTAACCAGAACAGTATGCTACAATTATGTGATAACAAAAGCTTTAACAAAATGTACGAATGTGCAGAAAGAAAGCTGAATAAATGTAATCAATAGAGCTTTAAGCTTACCATGAGTCGAATTCGATTAATATAATTTGAATAAATATAAACTGTATAAGTTTAATTAATAGAGCTTTAAGAGCTTAGCATGAATCAAATTGTATTAATTGAAATTGTTGAGAACTTAAACCTTTCAGATTATAGCAACATTTAAAGGTAGAGGTGTATACGTGATTAATTGTATTAAACATAAAGCTTTCAAGTGCTTTCAAACTCTACATAATTAAGCTCGCTTTCAATCTGAAATGATCTTAACTGTATTCAAAGCATATGCTATTAAATCAGTTTATAGCTCTATGTAAAATAAAATATGTATTTTAAAGTATATTTCATCCTACTTCAAGCTCCTAACTGATTTCAAAGCTGTTGACAAATATAAGATTAAGTTTCAGATGAAATCATTTTTTTACGCCTTGTGAAGTTAAGAGCGCATATTTTTCTTTAAAAAGTAACTAGTTGAATAAGCTTTAAGCTTAAAGGCTGCCTAATTGCATTTACTCAATAGACATTTAGCCGAGCTCAATTGCACTCTGTCAATGCATTTAATCCCACTTAAAGCTTTCATGTGCTTTGAAAGCTCTAAGCTGGCTAATTCCTTAAGCTCAAATTAAACTCAACAACCCGTACAAATTGCAAAATCGCAGCGCGTACTTGGAACTAATTGAAATAAAACGAGTGCATTTTATCTATCAATTTTGTAGGAATCTAGCATCGAATCCATTCAATTGTAATTGTCATTTGGCCTGGTTCGCCGAGTGGTTGCGTAAAAAATCGTTGAACGGCGGAGCAGCACGTTGCGCTGCCCCAGCGAAGATACGTGATGTGCAAATCAAGGATCTGCCCCACAACGAATTCAAATGCAGCAGCGAGAACAACGAGGGCTGCCTCGGCGATGGCTATTGTCCGCCGGCCTGTACGTGCACCGGCACTGTGGTCCGCTGTTCACGCAATCAATTGAAGGAAATACCGCGCGGCATACCAGCCGAGACATCCGAATTGTATCTGGAGTCCAATGAGATCGAACAGATACATTATGAGCGCATCAGGCATTTGCGTGCACTCACCCGACTGTAAGTTTACCATATACTACAAATGTTGCCAAGTTTCCTTTTAAACAGAAAATTGTTTTTCCCTATTTGTTTTTTTTTTCCATTTGCAGCGATCTCAGCAACAATCAAATCACCATACTCTCCAATTACACCTTTGCCAATCTGACCAAGCTATCCACGCTGTAAGTATGGGGCCCATTTCTAATGACTTTTTAATTGCTCCAGACTTAGACTCGAGACTTGGACGCGTACTCGCAATCGTACTCGTACTCGTACTAGGCATTAAGGCAACACGAAAATCGAAACGTTTCAACCTCAAGAGGGCTTGACACAATTTTTCTTTTTTTTTCTGCTTTCTGCTTTTTTGCGGCAATTGCATTTTGCGGTTTATTGTGGCTTTCTGGTGCGGTGGCTGCGGCTCTGGCTGTGGCTGTGGCTGTGGCCGCCACCCTTGGCCTGGGCTCGTCTCGAACCGGCCACGAAATTCATTCGAGACGTTAAGTCGTGACTCGTGCTTAAGCATTAGCTGTTGTCGTCCGCTCTGCCCTACCTATAGTCCGTCGAACTGCTGCCGCCTGCCGCTTGGTGCCGCTTGTGTGCGCTATCCGCAATCAAAGCTGTGCCTTCTAATATACCCTGCACGCATTTAGTCAGCCAAAGGAGTGTACTTATGTAACTAGCTTAAAAATAACTCTATATTAGTTTAAACATGTGTGAACATTGAAAATTGCTGCTGGGTTTGAACCAGCGACCTATTAAAAATAACTATATTATTTTAGACACGTGTAAACAATGAAAATTGCTGCTGGGTTTGAACCAGCGACCTCTCACTTGCTAGTCCGACACTCAGAAATATTGTTAGGCGCAATGTCAAAATAATATTTGGGAGTTCAGCTGTTCTTCAACTTGTCCAATTTGATATTTGGTACAGTCTAAAACAAAATTGGAATTCGGCTTTCAAGAAAGTTCGTTTCACAACTGTTCCGTGCAGTTGAAGCCCTTACAGGGTATCGAAATAGTCGAGCAATTGTTAGTTTCGCACGCTCAGCGCATTTCTTTTCAATTTGCTGGTGGCTGGTTAAAAACGTTTTGCAATTACTTTCATTTCTTCATCATGGATGTGCCGCATGTGTCTGCAATTTGGTAAACGTTTCATTTTGCCCATCTTCTGCGTCCACTGATTTTCATTCGTTTTGGCCACATTTCGTTTCCGCTGTTGCAGCATCATTTCGTACAACCGGCTACAGTGCCTGCAACGACATGCGTTGTCTGGTCTAAATAATCTGCGCGTGCTCTCGCTGCACGGCAATCGGATATCCATGCTGCCGGAGGGCTCCTTCGAGGATCTCAAGTCGCTGACACACATGTGAGTACCAATTGCAATTGTTCTTTTCTTTTGTGCTCGTAACCTTTGACCTGACCCCGTCACCCAATTTTCTCCGTCTCGTGCAGTGCCTTGGGCAGCAATCCCTTGTATTGCGATTGCTCACTGAAATGGTTCTCGGACTGGATCAAGCTGGACTATGTGGAGCCGGGCATTGCACGCTGCGCGGAGCCGGAGCACATGAAGGATAAGCTGATATTGTCGACGCCCTCGTCGAATTTCGCGTGCCGCGGCAAGGTGCGCAACGAGATCCTGGCCAAGTGCAATGCCTGCTACGAGCAGCCGTGCCAGAACAAGGCCCAGTGCCTGGCCCTGCCACAGCGTGACTATCAATGCCTCTGCCAGCCGGGCTACCATGGCAAGCATTGCGAGTACATGATCGACGCCTGCTACGGCAATCCCTGCCGGAATAATGCCACCTGCACGGTGCTGGAGGAGGGTCGCTTTAGCTGCCAGTGTGCGCCGGGCTATACGGGCGCCCGCTGCGAGACGAACATCGACGACTGCCTGGGCGAGAATATACGCTGCCAGAACAATGCCACCTGCATTGATGGCGTCCAGTCGTATCGCTGCGAATGCCAGCCCGGCTTTACGGGCGAGTGGTGCGACACGAAAATACAGTTCTGCAGCCTCGACTACAATCCCTGTGCGAATGGCGCCAAGTGCTTGGACCATTTCACCCACTACAGCTGCGAGTGCATGGCGGGCTTTCACGGCATCAACTGCACGGATAACATCGATGATTGCCAGAATCATATGTGCCAGAACGGCGGCACCTGCATCGACGGCATCAACGATTATGTGTGCAAGTGTCCCGACGATTTTACGGGCAAATACTGCGAGGGTCACAACATGATCTCCATGATGTATCCGCAGACTTCGCCCTGCCAGAATCATGAGTGCAAGCACGGCGTCTGCTTCCAGCCAAATGCCGCTGGCTCCGACTATCTGTGCAAATGCCATCCCGGCTATACGGGCAAATGGTGCGAATATCTGACCAGCATCAGTTTTGTCCACAACAATTCGTTTGTCGAACTGGAACCGTTGCGCACGAGACCCGAGGCGAATGTCACCATCGTCTTCAGCAGCGCCGAACAGAATGGCATACTCATGTACGATGGACAGGACGCCCATCTGGCCGTCGAGCTGTTCAATGGCCGCATACGCGTTAGCTACGACGTCGGCAATTATCCGGTGTCCACGATGTACAGCTTTGAAATGGTTGCCGATGGCAAATATCATGCGGTCGAGCTGTTGGCCATCAAGAAGAACTTTACGCTGCGCGTTGATCGCGGCCTGGCACGCTCCATCATCAATGAGGGCTCCAATGATTATTTGAAGCTGACCACGCCTATGTTTTTGGGCGGTCTGCCCGTGGAGCCGGCCCAGCAGGCTTATAAGAACTGGCAGATACGCAATTTGACCAGCTTTAAGGGCTGCATGAAGGAGGTCTGGATCAATCACAAGCTAGTCGACTTTGGCAATGCCCAGCGCCAGCAGAAAATCACGCCAGGCTGTGCCCTGCTCGAGGGTGAACCCAGCGAGGGTGATGAGGATGATGAGCAGGACTTCATGGACGAGACTCCGCACATCAAGGAGGTAAGTCTTAACACAGTAGTCTCACTGTCGAGACCTTTAACTAACCTGCATTTTTAATCTTGCCAGGAGCCGGTGGATCCCTGCGCGGAGCACAAGTGCCGTCGCGGCAGTCGCTGCGTGCCCAATGCCAATTCCAGGGACGGCTACCAGTGCAAGTGCAAGCACGGCCAGCGTGGACGCTACTGCGATCAAGGTGAGGGCATCACAGAGCCCCCAACAATCACGGGTACATATTGCGATCTCTCACTCTAAACATTCATTCAAACATTCAACATGACAAGCGGATTCGTAGTATTCTAATGCATCCTTTCCATAGCTATTCTATCAAGTCAGGGCCTTATCTTTGAGATCTATCCATAGGATATATCTCTTATAAAGAAGTTCAAACTAGTTTAAAAGTAACTTAATTGAAACTGATTCTCGCGTCAGTATCAGTATATTTTCCATTGTTTGGAATTATAAACTTTTCTTCAATTTATTATCAAGAGTTAATTTTATGATATAATTGTCCATTATTCTATAAAAATATTTATCTATTTTCTTGATGGTGTGGATTCTATTGGCAGCAAACGTGATCAGTAATAAGGGTTTATTCAGATGCTTTTACTTCCAAGTTAAAGTCCTCCACCTCATACCAATTTGTATCTAAGATTTAGCTTAAAACCAACTGAAGTATTAAACTAGTTCAGAAGAAGACTTCATCATGTTCTTACTTAAACTTAAATTGAACTAAATCAGCAGCAAGTGGCAACAAACGATTCCCCTATTATAAGCCAACTACTTCAACAATTGCTGGCTTAAACAAATTGGGAATTACAAACGAACTGCAGCTTTGTGCCTGTTAAGACGGCATAGTGTTCGAAGAGCTTTAGAATGAACTAATTGAGTTTAAATAGAGTAAAAGCTGCTAGTAAATTGAGTGAAAAGCATAAATGTTGCGTGTATATTAGAAAGTTTCCTGAAAGTTTCGCCTAGTTGGTAATTAAGGAGGCGGCTTAAACAATATACATACCACGCCTAGCCTCCCAGTATTCCACTCGAGCAACTTTCTGGCAACTTGCAACGCATCCGCTTGGTTATGCTGCATAATGTCATTTGCTTTCACACACACACACACAACATCTACATCTACATCAAACACACATCATATATTTCACGCCCATTTCATCTCACACATTTAGAAAAGGGGGCAGCTGTGGCTGGTGTGCGTGCGTATGTGTGTGTGTGTGTGTAATCTCATTAGCCGGCCGCCGTTGCCGTCGTCTTGTCAAAGGTGGTTCACTAATTGCATTTCCACGTTCGGTTCCATCATTTTTATTGCAGCCGCAGCGACGTGTCGCAAGGAGCAGGTGCGTGAGTATTACACGGAGAACGACTGCCGCTCCAGGCAGCCGCTGAAGTACGCCAAATGCGTCGGCGGCTGCGGCAATCAGTGCTGTGCGGCCAAAATCGTGCGGAGGCGCAAGGTAAGTGCCAAATATGATTCCATTAGCATCAGTTTTAGAACTATGTGCCTAAGGCAACCCTGAAACAGACAGTGTTTATTAATTGCCTTAGAACTCAACGAAAGACTCCAAATCATCTTATAGATCCTATATAAAAGCCAGAAAAAGTCATGCTTGAGAGGTCAATTTTGCATGGGTTTTATTCCCGGACCCAAATTAATATTCCATAGATCGGTTTACTCTTGTTCGCTTGACGTCTAAAACGTCTCTAAACTTGCCTCCACAAACCAAATTTATCCGTCACTTTATCTTCCTTTCAAATATTTAACATAAACATAGCATTGCCATACTGCCAGCTGTTCACCAAGTGCTGCCAATTTAAAAAACGTGGTGTTGACTTTTAAAAAAGAAGCTGCCAGACTTTTAGTTAATTAGCAGAAACTTTGACAGGAACATAAACTAAAGGGAACAAAATATTTATTTTCGTTTTGAATATAACTTATTTTAAAAGGGTATCTTATTATAAAAAGATAGGTTACAACATATTTAGTTCTATAAATTATTAAAAGACTGACGCAAGGTAATAAGTTTAGGTAATTAACGGAAACTTTGACAGGAACTTAAAATGGCTGAGTATGGTAAAATGCAACTGTAAAAGTATATTTATCAACTTATTATTGTATGAACTGTTAAAACATGAGATATGATTTTAAGATTAAGTAATTAACAGAGACTTCGAAAAGAACTTAAGATAACGGAGCTAGGTCAAATAAAATTGTAAATGAAATATTTTCATTGGTTTTTATAGATCTTTTCAAAATGTAGCCGACCAATACCAACAGATTATTATACGATATTAAAACATATTAAATAAATTATGATTTTTTCTATATTTAAGTAATTAACAGGAACTTTGACAGCCACATGAGATTAACGCAATCTCGACTTGTCTTTACCTCTCTTTAACTCACACTCTCTTCTTTTCTCTCTCTCTCTCTCTCTCCCTTCGACAGGTGCGCATGGTGTGCAGCAATAATCGCAAATATATCAAGAATTTGGATATTGTGCGCAAATGTGGATGCACCAAGAAATGCTACTGACTGAAAGATGCGACTACCCGATTGCTTACAGAAAGCAATGGCAGCTTAGATGTTAGTTTAGGAACACAATTAAACTTAACTTATAATACAAATAATAATAACAATAATAATAATAATAATAATAGTAGTAATAGTAGCAGTAGCAGTAGCAGTAGCAGTAGTATTAACTTTAGTCATAAGCCGCATAGCAGTAGATTAAATAGCACGGGGCAGCAGCTGCTGGGCGTGGCTGCTGTCAAAAAGGGGCAAGAGGCGGAGGCGGAGGTTGCGTTGGGCGAGAAAGATGATGAGGATGATGACTATGCCATGGAGGACATAGAATCCGATACAGAACGCATGCAAGCGGATCTCTATGACGACGACGATGATGATGATGAAGATGATGATGATGATGATGGTTTGGACGAGGAGACGAGCTTATTTGCAGATGATGACGAGGATGACGACGAGGAGCCCGAACAGCTGCCCGATCCCAAGAGTCTGATCTCTGCAGCGGCACAACAACAACAACAACAACAGCCGCCGAATGAAGAGGAGGAGGACATGGGCTATGATGAGGACGATGAGCGTTTGGCACTGGAACGGCCGCGTACAACGCGTCCGCGCGCCGATGAAGAGCAATTTGTTAATGAGGAGGGCAGCGGCGCCGGCGCCGGCTCCGGCACTGGCGGCTACAAGGCGCGCTTCCGGCCCAACAACAGCTACAGGCAATTGCATCTGGAACACATACGCAAAAAGCTGCTCACGGAGAGTCAACAGCAGCAGGAGAATGAGCCCGCCTCGGTGGTCGCCGCGGTGGCCGTGCCGAGCACTGCGATTGATCTGCGCGAGAGCAGCGGCCATTTTGCTAACGATGATGAGGATGGCGAGGATAACGATGACGGTGTCGATGATGAATACGCTGACAATGCTGATGGGGCTGGCTTCTTTGGTTCGCAGCGCTCGAAAAGCGCTTCCGGTGCGAATCACTATTTCCGAAAGAATAGCAACGATGCCATTAAGATCATATCCACGCCGCTGGGCAAGGTGGGCATCGTCTATCAGCAGACGCCCACCGATGCCGATGGCAATGATCCGCAGCAGCAGCTGCATCAGAAGCAGCAGCTGGAACAGCAGGCACAGCAACAGAAGCCAGCGACACAGTTCACAGACTTCGATGCCTTGTCACCGGATCCGGAGAGCAGTCATCGTTTTCCGTCGCCACATCCGAAAATAACGCCCGTTCTAACACCCGATGGCAAGGTGGCGCTGCTTTATCGCGGTGATTCGGAGAGCTCCAAGTACGAGCCCATACGCAATCTGACGCACAAGTTCACCGGCTCCAAATCGCCAGAGCTGGCCAAGCCGAACAATGAGGACAGCTCGGACGACTCTTCCGATGATTCCGTCTACACGGACAGCGAGGACGAGAGCGCTGGCGATAAGCCCGCCCCGGCTTCGGGCGCTGCCGCTGTGACGCCCAAACCGCTGCAGCCGGAGATCCTGGAGCCGCCCGCCCATGCAGCAAACGGTGGCAGCTTCATAATACGACCCACCTCTGATTCGCTGCTGCCCATGATCAATCGGCCATTGTCCGAGGTGCTGGGCATCAAGAAGAATCAGTTCCAGGAGACGCGCGTGCGCGATCAGCTGGCCACGTTGGGCGCCACGCCCGAGGCAACGCCTCGCTCGCTGCTCGCACAGCCAAACCAACAGAGCGAACAGAAGCCGGGCGGCAGCCTGCACTTCCTCACCAAGGTCAATCTGGCCGAGTATCCCACATCCAAGCAGCAGCAGCAGCAGCAGCTGCAGTCGCCGCAGCTGCCCAGCGGACGCGACTTTGACTTTAGTCGCGACAACACGATGCTGGATGAGAGATCGCGTGTCCGTGAGCTGGAGCAGCAGCGAGAGCGGGAGCGCGAGCACAATGAGGCCACCAGCAAGGGCGGCACAGAGGCGCACACGATTGCCAACGAGCAGCTGCTGTCCAAAACGGAGGTCATCAATTTGGCAATAATACCGCAATTCGATGAGGACATGGAGCGCCTGCACGAGAGCAGCGGCCTGGGCAGCGGTCGTCGGCACCATCGCACGCGGCATCGCCACAAGCAAACCGAAGAGGAGCTGTCCGGCATACATTGCGTCATGCAGGTCATGATGGCCATTGCGGCCGTATCCACTGTCTTTGGCATGCTGGGCACCTTCTTTAAGCAGCGAATCTTGGATCAGCTGCGTACGATGCACTGGTAGTACAACAATGGGTATTCGAGTTGTTTCGAATACCTTCCCGAACCCAAACCCAAACCCAAACCCAATCTTAATCCTCATGTCACACAGTTGACTCGTCTGCAACAACATCATCATCATCACCATTATGCCGTCACAGTCATTATGGAGCTACTACAGACTCTTACTTCTACTACTACTAGCACAGGAGGCAACAGTTTTCCCCCTTTACTACTACTACTACTGCTCACTATATGGCCTCCACATACATACATATATATATATATACTCATATACCATATGCCATATTTATATATACACACATATATACATATACTCTCTCTATTAGGTAGAGCTGAAAAATTGTCGTTCATTTTTGAAGAATGTTCCACTAATTGCCTTTTAATTGATTCTGCAAATCTTTTACATTATTTTATGTAAACTTTTTAACATATATTAACACTAAACTTTTTAATTCATATAACAGTCATACAAGCTCTGTAAACCTCACATTAACAGCTGCTGTTATATTCATATTAACAGTTTAGTTACATTCTACAGTCTTCTGTTAGCGTCACAATAACAGTTATGTTAAATATTACAGATCCTTTTAGCTCACAGTTTTGCACTAGTTTTTATAAAGTCATGACAAAACAAACTCAATTCAAGCTTTTCAGCTCTACTTTCTATATACACACAGTTATATATATATATATAATCCGACGCATATATCGAAAAAATAATACCCTAATTTATGTAACAAGGAGCGGCCCTGTTTTTGCTTTTTCCTAACTTTCTCGTATACTTCCGCTTCTTTATATATATAATATATATACTATATTTATATACTTACTAGCAAGCTACCCAGGCGATGTACATATAACAGCACACTATAACTGAACTATACGACTATATGTATATGAACGCAACTGTAGCCCCTGCCAATAACTAAACAAAAAAAAAACTAAACATTTTTCCGCCTTTTTCCCGCTAAGCCAACTCGTTTTCAAATTTTCAAATCTTTTTTCCATTCTATATCAATTTTCCAAACATTCATACACACTTCAACACACAAAAACAAACCCACACACACACACACACGGTTGAGTGTATAAGCTTTAAGCAAGTCATTGCATGTGCCACGCCCACACGAACAATGCCCCGCCCCACGCCCAACAGAAAGAAAAAGAATGAAGAACAATTATAAGAAAAATGATATATATGAAGAACATTCCCCCCGTCTGCGCCCCGTCAAAGTGAATTGAATTGTAGTAACAGTTTCCTTTTGTAGATAGAATACAGTTGTTTAAAGATTTAAAAAAACGATAACGATTAACGATAACTCGATAACACGATAAAACAGCTGCACACCACAACTTGTAACGGTCGTTTTAAACGCCGAAGTACACTCAAAGAAACGAGTAAAAACGATAATAATAATAAGCGTGCTTAACGAAATTCTGTTTAAATTAAGTAAGTTGCTCAACAACAAAAACAAAACGTAAACAAAAAGAACAACAACAATAAGCAAGCACAAACAGAGAACAAAAAGCTTAACGAATTTTCAACAATTGTTGCTATGTGTTTTTCTAGCATTAGTTTACAAATAATAGAAATTATAAAAATAATAATAATAATAATAATAATAATCGTAATAATAATTACGTTAACTAAATGTGTGCTAAACGTAAATAACATTTAAAACGAAAAGCAAACAAACAACAAATTAAGAAAATCCTAAACATAATCGGATAACAAACATCTAAGCTGGGTAGTCGCATGTAAATCTCTAACAATTAACCATCTAAGTTAGACCTAATTAAATATTACGAACAGAAACAAAAACAAAACAAAAAACGAATTGCATTTAAAAACCTTAACCTAAACCTAAACCTAAATCTATATATATATAAAATTATTTATACTAATCTATATATATGTATGCTGTATGTATGTATAACTCTATATATGTAAAATGTTTTTGACTATTTTTCACTATTTATATAATATGCTATGGATATATAGTATATGCTATATACGATATATACTATTTGTAAACGTACGCGTACGCCTTTATTTCGTCTGCATTTTTAGTTGTGTCTACATTTATATATATATATTTATATATATATATATATATATATATATATATAAATATATATTATATATATTTTTATTAATGTATAACTATGCGCACTAATTATATGCATATTATTGTATATGTATAACCAATTGAAAATTAAATGTGTAATAGCTGTTGCTAAACGTTAACTATCAGTTTTTTTATTATTGTCATCATTATAATTATTATATTATTGTGTTTCCTTACGGTTTGGCCAAGAATTCAAAAACTCGGCAACGGCTGAAAGTAAATTGAAAAACAAAGTTCAAACTACAAAATGAAACAATTTTGGCATTACATTAAAGGCAAAACGAATGCTTTGATTTCTCTGTGTGTAATATTTATTTGATAATAAAAAGGATAAATAAATATGTTCAGAACTCGGCAGTGTTTTAATATTCTTAGTGTCTATCGAACCTTTCAAAGGACACGAAAATCTGCAAGGGTAAATTAAGCCTGAACTTGGAAACAAAAGGCATTTTGTTATCGTGGAAGTCCACAGAATCTATTGGAATCAACATTTTTTGATTTTATTGGTCAAAATTGGGTCAACTCTTGGAATGCGGGTTTTTGGATCGTCATGATCCGTACGATTTGAAGGAGGCATATTTTACCGAAAACGGACATACATCCTAGATATTAAAATTACAATAGTTGGAAGTCGCATTATCGAATGCCTTAAAGTATGCAGAGCTATTTGCAAGAGTTTCTTTTGCATGCAGCATAAGAGTATGCACTATATTTATTTATGGCAGTACGAAATCATTTTAATATTTATCCCGGAAATATGCTACACATTTCGGTATAGATTTCATTAATTAATTGTACGACACATATTTAAATTGGTAGCCCGAAAGTAAGCTACACATTTCGGTATACATTTCAGGTAAAGCTTAAATTGTTTGACAAATATTTAAGTTTGAAGCCCAAAATGATGCTATACATTTTACAGTACATTTCATGTAACGCATTTATTGCAAATCGTTTGTTTGATATATAAAGTATATAAAATATATATGGAAAATATTAATGTTCTTACACGCTATGTTAGTTCAGGTATTTAGACCAGTTGTATAGATCATAATATGAAATCAGATTGTAAAATATATGAAATGGCTAAAACAGAGGCAGCTATTGCTGTGGATCCTGCTAGCAAAACAAAAATCAAATTGAGCCGTTCATCGCCTGCTGCATATTTGAGGTGGAGACCAGCTTGAGGGCGTCCATGATGCCGTTCAGATTTTGCTCATTGTAGGCCTGGCCCTGCAGGGGAGTGACCACCGGCACCAGCTGCTCGCTCTGGGGCAACTGCAAGCATATTTTGGACATCAGACCCTGTGCAAGCGGAAAGGATGCATTAGCAATTTTCAGCGGGATGAAGGTTATAATAATACTCACAGCTTCCACTTCAACATTTAGCTTGAGCTTCATGCCACGCTCATCGCCCTTCACCTCGAGCTCTTTTTCTACCGTAAACTTGGGCGTCTTGCCAATGACCCAATCCCAGGAGCTATAGTTGGCGCGCAGCTCCTCAATTCCTGGGAACCATTTCTCCGTGGGATTGATCAACTGAAAGCCGCGTTGCTTCATTGTCTGCGTGCTGCCACCATCCTCCAGTGCTGTCGCTGCGGTGCGCAGATACTCATAGCCCACTGCGGAGAGCAGCTGCGGCACGTTCACTTTGCGATTAACATCGACCAGATTGCGAATGGGCGAAGGCACCGAGGCGGTGGCACGGCTAATATAATTGGCTGGCTCCTTGACGAGCGACTCGCCCAGATGCAGCTTGTTGGCGCTGGCCAAAATGGTGCAGTGGTGATACGCATTGGGACGACCTAACTTGGCGGCCGTGCCCGATATCTGAAATATATAGAATAGCTGAGTTAGTGTGCGGAAGCATATTTAAAAGGTTATAAGGTTATAAGGTTGAAACCAATTCAGAAAGAGATAATGAATAGACAAAGACAATGTAAAAACATAAATAAGAGATAACAAAGGAAATAAAACGGATAGCCGAATATTAACTACACTTCCAATACATTTGCAATATACCTAACTAAAACTCCGATACTGTCTACAAGACTTACCAAAGCAAACTTTTTTCAAACGGACTTGGCTATAGCGAATTGCCTGTTGATTCTAAACAAGAATATATATAGTAAATGGGGTCGGTTCTATGCGATACACATTTCATAACAAAATTGTAATACCCTCCGCAGGGGTATAAAAAAAACGTTTAACTGCAAACCTGATTTAATAAAAACTTTGTTTTTTTTTTGGGATTGAATATGGCTTCTTTTAGAGTATACATTTTAATTTCAGAACTGAAGATCTGCAAAAAAAACTTGGTGCGCCTTTTCTTTTAAAATGGAAAATTTTCATTGAATTAATTTGATACGTTGTCTCTCTAGAAATCATAAGCTGAATGCTATTCTAAGCAGGGTTCAACTGGAGGCCACGCCTCAGCAGATGTGTGTTATTTTTTTCAATTAGGTTGATAAGCACTTAAGTGCATAATCGCATAATCGCTTAAGCGTTTGGCGTTTGGCCACATGTCTAACCTTTTTGTTGGCGATAACAATATCATCGCGATCATTGATCTCTGTCTTGATGGCCCACTCGCGGAACAGGGAGCGCGTCACAATGTTCAGATTGTACTTGCGATCGTAGCGCTCGCGGGGCGTGAAGAAGGTGCAGTTGAGATTGCCCCGATCGTGATAGACGGCGCCGCCGCCGCTGTTGCGACGGGCCAGCGTGATGCCCCGCTCCATGAGCTTGGAGACGTTCGCCTCGGTAAACGGATTCTGATGGCGGCCAATGACAACGCACGGCTCGTTGACCCACAGGAGCAGCACATGATGATGCCCGAAATCAAAGTTCTTATACAGCCAATCCTCCAGTGCCAAATTGGTGAAGACGTCACTTGATTGCGAAATGAAAACCGATTTCTTGATATCAGCGTCAGCCACAGCAGCAAGCGTTTTGCGCTTAGTACCAGATGGCGTCGTCGTCGGCGTCGGCGTCTTTGTTGTTGTTGCAGTTTCGGTTACATTGTTGTTATCATTAGTGCTCGATGCGAGCCGCGTGATTGCTGCCGACGTCGCTGCGCCCAGACGCTGCAGCAAGTGCAGCTGGCTCGAATTGCGCCGCAACAGTATGCTCATATTAAATATTTAGTTTAACAATCAGGCAAAATGACACAGCTGCTGGTATAAATTGTTCTTTTTTTTTTCTATTATTGCACAACTCGGTGCAGCGCTAATGTTGTTGTTGTTGCGCTCTTCTTACAAGGAAGTCAATTGGCGATGTTGCTATGTCGCTCTCTTTCCCTCTCCCACTGTCTGTCAGGCGGCGGCAATGCACTTGCTCACTATTTGCGTTCGTTGTTACAAAAACAAGGTCAACGTCAGCGTAAGTCGCTAATTGATATATATTTACATATATATATGTATATATTTTGGGCAGGTTTTTAACGGCCGCTGTTCTGCTTATTTTGTGGTTAGGTTGAGTTTGAGTCTATGTCTATATGTCTATGCCTAGGTGTGTGTGTGTGTTAGTTGTATTAATTATTATCTGTAGCGTTTCTATTTTAGCTTATTATTTTTCTGTCTGACGCTTTGTTGTTGTTCTGCTCTGCTTGTCGTATTCCTTTTGGTTTATTGCTTTTGTTTATTTTTTGTTTGTTTTTTTTTATATATTTTTTTTGGTTGTTGTTTTGGACTTTAGAGCGTGGTGGACTCGCTGGCAGCGATGTTTGCTGCAACAGAGCTAGCGGAGATGAGATATTCGTGCAGGGCGGGCGTCTGGTGTAGCCACTTCCAAGTTTGATGCAATCCGCAGACACGCTTACGTAGACCCAAACAGTCCTTGTTGCTGCACCAGTTAACTTGCATACTACGCTTCACACCCATCCAAGAAAGAACGTCTAAAGGGTCGACAGGAATTTAGGCCAGCACACGTTGCTCTGGCCAAAAATAAGCACACACGTCTGCTACGCAATACGGCACAATGCGAAAAGTTAATAAAATTGGTTGGTTCTGCCTTGAAAATTGAAAAAATTTTCCACTCTTTCTTTGTGCCGTACGACGGCTTTGCGGGGGATGGGGCGGTCGAACGCGGTGTAACACAAAACAAACACAGACAACGGCAACGGTAAATGTCGTACGTAGGAGAAATCACGTCTGATTTACATTGGCGCAAGATAAGCACTGAAACCTATTGGAATGGCAATTCCAATAAATATGCAGTATGGCTCCCCATCTAACATAGCTGCTCCTCACTTAACAGTGAGCTTTCTGCAATGCGTTGTTGCATTTACAATTTAAACCAGGCTGCTAACGAAGAGTCTACGAACGATACAAAATTCTTAAGTTTAATCAACGTAAATGATTTACATTAAACATATGTTGTCTGCGTTTGCATGTGAATGTCGAAACAGCTGTCACGCAAATTACAAGCAAAACATTACGATGTGGTTTACAAGGCAATCATCATTCGATTAAATAATTTATTTTAAGCAACGCTTAAGTTATTTCCAAAGTAATATTAATTGGGTATTCCGCCATTATTTATGTATTCAGCCTCCAGTGGGTCGATCGGCTTACGGGCAAAACGAGCAGGCAGTTCCCAGTCTTCGATTGCTGGTCCACCTGTTACCTGTGGTATTTTAAGGGAAATATTAATAACAGAACTTATGTCTTAATCGTATCTCGCAACGTCTACTGTAGTAAATGGGCTATATAGTTAACCTTTTTGCCTCCTGAATCCTTAGAACTTGCCTGTTGACTTGGGCTTGGCTTGTTGTTTGCCGCTGCTAGACCGCCCTTGCGGAATTGTATAAGAGGCACACGTTTTGTTAACGAGACTAAATTTAAGCGCACCATGTTAACTTTAAAATATGATTTAATTTGCAAGACAGGAAAATGCCGAGCGAGAGTTACGTCAAAACAGCTGAGTGTAAATCTAAAAAATGTTGCCACACTGTTTAAAGCAAATTGTAATTCACACACAACGTGAGCAACTATAGCGTTGCCACTCACAGGCCTGCGGCGCAGAAAAACAAATTTGTTTGCATTTGATAATTGGGGAAAAAGTTGTGTAAAAATCAGTTTTCAAGCTGGCCAGCGCAATGAACGTCGCAGGCGGCGGCACCAGCACCACTGCAGGCAACGCCGGCAACAATAATACGCTACCAATGGCACAACTGGCGGACGGCTGGCTAGAACTAGAATCGGATCCGGGTCTTTTTACTTTGTTGCTGGAAGATTTTGGATGTAAGTAAATAAAGTTGAACTGTTTGTACTATATTATTCACTGGCGACTTTTATTGAAGGCCACGACGTGCAAGTCGAAGAAGTCTACGACCTGCAAAAGCCCATTGAAAGTCCATACGGCTTCATTTTTCTCTTTCGCTGGATCGAAGAACGTCGGGCGCGTCGAAAAATAGTGGAGACAACTGCAGAGATATTTGTCAAGGATGAAGAAGCAATCTCGAGCATCTTTTTTGCCCAGCAGGTGGTGCCCAATAGCTGTGCAACCCATGCGTTGCTTTCCGTGCTACTCAACTGCAACGAGAACAATCTGCAGCTGGGCGAAACGCTGAGTCGTCTCAAGGCTCACACCAAGGGCATGAGTCCCGAAAACAAGGGTCTAGCCATAGGCAATACGCCGGAGCTGGCCTGTGCCCACAACTCGCATGCCATGCCGCAGGCGCGCCGTCGTCTGGAACGCACTGGAGCTGGTGTAGCGAGTTGTCGCTTTACCGGCGAAGCCTTTCATTTTGTCAGCTTTGTGCCTATAAATGGGCAACTGTTTGAACTGGACGGCTTAAAGCCATATCCCATGAACCATGGCTGCTGGGAGGAGCATGAGGATTGGACAGATAAGTTTCGACGCGTCATGGCTGAACGCTTGGGCATAGCGACAGGCGAGCAGGACATACGCTTCAATCTGATGGCGGTGGTGCCCGATCGGCGCATAGCCATCACGCACAAGCTGAAGATGCTGCGCACCAATCAGGCTATTGTCTCCGGCACACTCCAAAAGCTGCTCAAAGCCGATGAGCAGGGCGAGCGCGATGAACAGCAACGTCCGGATACACCCAACACGCTGCTGGAGCCGAGTGCGTTCACAGCGCGCGATTTACAATCGCTGCTCAAGAATTTGGATACGGAAATAGCCATCAATGAGCAGCATTTGGCCGATGAGAACGATCGTCGGCAAATGTTTAAGGTGGACGCCAGTCGTCGCACACACAACTATGACAAGTTCATCTGCACGTTCCTATCCATGCTGGCACATCAGGGCGTGCTTGGCGAGCTGGTCAGTCAACATCTGCTGCCCTCCAAAAAGATAAGCGGACAGAGCGCCGCCAATCGCCTCAACAAGCAGAACAGCGCTGCGGCCAATACGGCGAATAGCAATGCGGGTGCCACTGCGGGCGGCGCCAAATCCCAGCAGCAGCAGCAACAGCAGCCACAACAACCGCAGACACCCAAGAATGGCAAGTCGCCCGGGAAGACGCCGGGACGCCGGCGTAAGGGGCGAAACAAGTGCAGGAAGCGCAAGTGATGTGCGCTGAGAGAATTATTCTAAATTGGTACTATCAATACACACTTAAATATATATATAAATTACTATATATACTTAATTTAATTAGCAACTAAGTTTAGTTATTGACATCGGTATCGAATTGCTGCATTTTTTGGTTTTTTTTATTTGATCATTTTTAATAATAAAAAACATTTTGTTCATGTGATTAAATGTTTCAAGTCCTTATTGGCATTTTAAAGGACCTAAATGTGTTTGTGTGTGTGTGTGTTGTATGCATTACAATATGTTTGTATATATATATTTCTATATATCTATATGGTAATTGTATAACAGAAAAAGAACAATTTTCATTTGATTCCTCGTACTTCGTATTATCCGTCGCTTTTCTTTCAGTTAAGCGCAAACTTAAATTATGTAAATAGTTTTTGTTCAACAAAACAAAAACAATGCGTTCTAGCTATATGCTGTTTTACGTTTTTATAAACTATAAAAACAAGGCATTTGACTGGCGCCTATCAAATGTTTAACAAAAAAAAATGGTTTGCTACAGACAATGACAATTGTTTAAGTTTTTTTTTCTTCTCTAAAGCTGTTGATGATTAGGAGGATGCTTGGTAGTGTGTTTCATAGTTTTTTGTAGTTGTTTTTGTTTTGTTTTTGATAGACTAAAGCTAAAATTGTTCAAGCCGTTTATCATCTAAGGATATGGCCATACACGGTATTTGTATATAGTAATATTTAACGATACACATGTGAGCAGTACAAGAGCAGCCTTTAGAAAAAACATAAATAATTATGCCTTATTTATTTAGTTGTTATTTTTTTGTTTTGGGTTATTCATTTCGGTTCTTGTGTGAAAGTAAAAACACTTTGTTGTTGCGAATTTTGCTCAGTCCCCGAAATTAAATGAAACGTTGACAAACACAAACATGTTGGACAACAGTTGAAAATTTTGTGACTCTCATGTAGATGATTAGTGTGATTTTTTTGGTGTGTGCGTGTGTGGTGTGTTCTCGTTGTTGTCTATGAAATAGTGAATGCTTGCTGTCCGCATTCCTGTTACTGCTGTTGCTGCATTCAACTTGAAACCGTCGCAGTCGACTCCTCGCTACCATTTGTTAGCTGCGTGGGCGTGCCTGCTGCAGATTCCTCATCCTTTGGCTGCTCAGTCTCGGACGCATTATCATTGTTATTGACAGCAGCCACAATGGTCTTGAGTGCACTGGTTATCTCACTCTCATCGGCCACATCATTCTCATCGGTATTCGTCTTCAAATGCTTCTCAATCTCGCTGCGAACCTTTACAATGTCCTTTTGGCTGTGGAGTGAAGCCAGCCTTTAGCATACATATAAGGATAAGATATATATTTGGATGCCCACCTGATATGCACAAAGAGAATGCCATTGATTGTGTTTAGCATTTCCAGCACAGAGCCCATCGAGGGCGGCGTTATGTGTATGGGCGGCAAATCGCTAGTCAGCTTTCCATTGGAGTAGATGTCGTTCATCTTGCGCTGCAACGCCACTGCCTCGTGGGTCAACAGACGCAGGCACTCCGCCGACTCGCGCGTCTTTTCGTGCTTCTCGCCCAGCTGTAAGCATGAAAAAGGAGCATAGTCAGATGCTGCTCCCAATAGGATGCTCAATGGCACACACCTGTGATTTGTAAATGGAGTAGGTCTCCTTTTCGTTGTTAAGCGCTGAGCGGAAATCACCCATGCAGGATTGAATGCGCGCCATCAGATGATAGCTGACGGCCACATGCATCGCCTTGTTGCCAAAGTACTTCAGATTCAGCTTGAGCGCATGTTCAATAAAACGCAACGACAGCTCGTACTCGCCCAGCGCGTGCAGAATCAAGCTGATGTTGCTCTGTGTGATAGGAAATAGGAAATTAGTATTTAATCTGACCTTTATCTATATCTTATTGCATTTGGCTACTCACATCGATCAGAGCCACCTCGGGATGATCCTCGCCGCAGATAAGCACCAGCAGATAGCGTGCACGATAAAGCAGCTTCAGGGACATGCCCACATGTCCATTGGCAAACGAGTAGAGCGACAGATGTGTCTAAGGGAAGAGAGATTAAAAATTAATGATAATTTAATTTAATTCTCAAATTAAAATCAAGCGAAACTAATTTAAAGGACCCAGATTCGATCTTGAAACCTAGGTGCATGGATATGAAAAGTTTTTGTACCCAATATCGATTGAAAAAGGTTAAAAAGCACCATAAACTATATATTCACAATATGTTTCGCCCAATATTGTATGCCGTTATTTCAATACTTACATATTCCAAAATGGTTGATGGATGATCAATGCCATTGACGCGCTCGCTCATGATGACCGCACGCTGTTGTATGGCCAGGGCGTCCTGGGCATCGCCCAGCAGATAGCTGAGGCGCGCCAACATGCGCAGACAGGAGCCATTCTCCTGGTGCATGGCGCCAAACACATTGTTCAGCAAATTTAGCGCCTCGCTTATCAGTTCGTAGCCCTCCTTAAGCATGCCCTGCTGGATTTTGGCCTGGCCCGTCGTATAGAAATTATAGGCATCTGTGGCGCGTGGACTTATGTGCTTGACCACGGGGAACACATTGACGATGTCGTCGTCGCCAAAGGTGGGCTTGTGCTTCGACTCAAAGTTATATTCGCGCAAGAGCACCTGGATGCCAACCTTGAGGCAGAAGGCACGCAACAAACTGATGCGTAACATTCCATACTTGGCGCCAGCGCTCTCAATAGAGTCACAGTCCAGCTCCCAGTTCCAATACGCTTTAACCTCCTTGCGAATTTGCTGCCACAGCGAACGTGGTGTTACCAGCGTCCAGTCGCAATTGGTGCTTGTGGCACTAGATGTTGCGGCACCTGCACCACCACTGCCCGTTGCTGGGGCGTTGCCATTCTGTGCTGCTGCCGCTTGCGGTTTGGATGTCTTGGCGGCCTTGTGCTTGTTGTGCTTGCCGCTGTTGTTGCGGGACGGCTTCTTGTGCAGCTCGTCGCTGCTGACGGCGGGATTGACGGGTCCCGTGGTTAGAAGACAATTGAGGAAATGACTTATTGCCGCCGACAGATGCAGTGGCTCGGTGTTCTGCATATATGTGTAGTAGATGTGCTTGGTGGCACGCACAATTAGCTCAAGTATGGCAATCCGATGCAGATAGTCCATGCGCGGCATTTGGCCCAACATTTTGATCACCTTGCCCAGATAGCGCACATTAATGCCGTGACTGTGCAGCGACTCAGTCAGACTCTGGCCATCGATGGGCGGTGAAGAGTGAGCCATGTGCTCTTTAATGAAGGCGGGAATTTGCTTGAGCACCAGAAATTCGGCGGCATCCTGGACGAGGCGCTTCTGCTTGGCCAGCGATTGCACGCCGCCGTCGGGGCCATCAACATGACGTATGCCAGGCGAGAAGACATCTGGATTAAATCGGAAATCAAACTCCTTCTCCTTGAGCGAACCAACAGCGGCACAGGCGCGTTTAACCACCTCCGCTGCCTGCACCTCATTGGAGACGGCCACATTCGATTGGGCCTCGCGTATGGCATTCACCATGGCCTCAGCGCTCTTTGTCTCGCTGGGAGTGGGCTTAGATTCCTCTTTCTCTGCTGGCTGCTCTTCGGTCTTTTCTGGCTGCTCCTCGATGGGCTCCTGCTTTTCAGCAATGGCGGGCAGCTCCTTTTCGGCATTTGCTGTTGCCGCCTGTTTTTTAGCATTCAGCTGCTGCAGATGCACTGCAGCAATGCGTATGAAAGTCACATAGCGATCCTCAATAAAGGCCTCGAGCAGCTCCTGGCGCAGGCAGCACAACTTATGGCGATGTTCAATGGGGAATCCCATATCGGTCAGTTCCTTGCTAAGTTGCACATCCTGCAGTTTGAGGAAATTCACATCCGGTGGGAACGTGCGCAACAAATCCAGAATATAGTGACGTCCATCGTTGCCAATGATGCCCTTGCACTCGACCGAGGAGCACAGCTCCACGGGCTCATCACGTTCATTGAGCACCGAATGCGGCAGGATCTTTAAGTGCTTGCCGGCCTGACGCAGGAGCTCCAGATACTTGGGATGACTGAGCACCGTCTTGCCAAAGTCAATGGAGCCATAGACAACGGACTGCTCCTGCTCCCGTTCCAGAATGCCAGGAATAATGGACTGGGCGGTGACACGATAGCCACGATAGTCAATGACAACGGTGCCCAGCGTGTAGAGACCCTCGATATCCACCGCATTGTAGACACGCACACCATGCAAATCATAGCGTGGCGCCACAAAAGCGGCATGATCGCCACCCAGTTCCTTGTAATGATCGCGCACATCGAAGCCCAGCGAGAAGAATATGTTATTCCAAATAAACATTTGCATTTTGGCATCCTCGCCGGGATTAATGGCCAACACATTGCCATCAATGACAGCCATGGCGCCGCGTGTTGCGGCCGTCACAAAGTCACCATGTACCTTAAAGATGGCGCGCTCGCGCAGCAAGCGCTCTGGCAGTGTTTTTCGTGGCAGTTCCCGGGTCGTCTGCAACTCCTCGTTCCAGTCGCGCGTCTGACCGGGTATATGCTCCTCGTAGCTGAAGAAGAAATGTTTATATGAAATTAAGCTCTGTAAGCCCTGTAAGCCCTCTCATCGACTTACCCCAGCTTGGAGCTAAAGGCATCTTCGGCACGTATGGCATCCACGGTGTGCTCCAATTGTGGTGCTGCCCATTGATACACCTGGTAAGGAGTCGCCACGCGCTCGAATGCATGGCGCATGGTACGACGCTTTTGTATGGCCTGAAAGGCGCGCCGGAAAGACGGTGAGATGTGCGAGAGTAGATCGATGAGCGAATGACTCAAATGGCTGGGATTGTCCGGCTTGGGATTGAAGCATTCGTCTGTGGATTGATTAATGTAGAAGCCCTTGGAGCAGGCAGAGATGTGAAAGCGTTTATCCTCCATGGTGACTACATACAGATACATCAGATCACCATGTAACTTGCGTGGACCGGGCGGCGGATTCCATGCCGATGTGGTCAACACTTTGAGTGCCTGTGGTCCCTTCGCATTCTTAATATTTGGATGCAGCGGCAACAGAGGCGGCTCACGCACACCAGGCGTCACATAGTCGGGCGGTGTGCAATCAACAGAGTCCGGACGTGTCCGCTTCTTGTCCAGCAGATCGCCCTGTGTTATGGTATTCAAATAGGTTAACGAGGTGCAATCGATGCCATTGTAGGCATCGGCCGGATCCAGATTCTTGAGGAGATCGCGCACATGGCGCACATGAATGCGTGCCTCACGCATTGTGTACGGCTCTTCGACGACGCGTATGGTGGAGCCCTGCTCCAGCGGCTCAATCGTCTTAAGTTCAGCAAAATTGTCAAGCGTCACGTTGTCCAGCTGCAGTGAGAAGCATGTTCTGTGGCATGTCTCCTCGCGATCCATAAGCAGCTGATGTATCTCCTGCACTAGCTCCATGCTGGACAGCTGCACGGATAGCACATCTGTCCCGGGGCTACTGATGTTAACCGTTATGCCAATATCATGCAAAGCATCCAAATCAACATCTTCTCCAGCAGCAGCTGCATCGCCCTCAGCCACAGCTCCCTCAGCAGAAGTACCACCCTCAGCTCCATCCCCTGCGTCAGCGTCGGCAGTGACAGCCTCGCCCTTTTCGGCCAACACATTTGCATTGGCATCGGCGCCATCGCCATTCTCCGAATGCCCATTGCTTAGAGCGGCGCTAGCTTCAGCTTCGACTGCATTTTGAGGCGGGCTTTTGTTACGATTTTTCTTGCCTGCAAATATTACAAAACACGAAACAACAATTGTTATTCAAATTGTGGTCAAGGGCGGCATCTTGTTTGAGTATCAACTATTGTTAATGCTTTCGGTGGGGGTTTCCCGGCCAGAATAGTTCATGAACTAGTTAAGTGTTCAGAAAGTATGCATGTATGTATGTTAATTAGCTTATTGTTAAAAACTTCATTTGCTTGCACAATCTACTTAGATGAGATGAGATCTGGATCTGAACCATTCTAGTTCGGTTTGGAGGTTCCAGTTCACAATGTGCGCACATTAACAAAATGGGATGATGAAATTAATTGATACGATGTGCAACCAGGTCTTAATTAAATCAGAAATGTGTGCATCAGACGGCCAGCGGTGCACAGTGAAGCGCGTAAAACCAGCTAATTAATTTTAAGCCGATTACTTGAGCTTGAAGAAATTGGAATTGTCAAGAAATTATTGTTGCTGGAAACCATTCTCACATTGTGCAGAAAATAAAAAATTAAAACAGTTAAATTAAAAAATTTGCTGGACGGCAATCAGGCTGACCTGACCTAACTTACTTGGCTTACTTGTTACATAATAATGCTTTGTGAGCGTTTACTTTTGCCATTCACTGTAACCGGCTCCATGCACACAACACGGCAACTTACGCACACATGCACACACACACACACATGGTGTCTGAATGCATGTGTGTGCGAGTGCTGTAAAACAAAACAAGAGAAAAGCAAACAAAGCGAGTCACAGCACCCGCTGATAAGGCAGACCTGCAAGAATGCAGCGGCTAAACTCGAAACTAAACTCAATTTTCAGGCATCTTTTTTTTCACAGAAACACGCTAATTTCAACAGCACAGCTAGAAATTACACCGAAATCTAATTTCGTAAACAAAACAATAAATGGAGAGCAAGTGCTGAGAGCCAGCAAAAACAAGACAGAGAGATAGAGAGAGAGAGACCGTTGAGAGTTATGCTTGGGATCAGTTTGTTGTAGGTGCATTATGAAGAAAAAACATGATTTACATAATTGACAGGTCGATTTATCGTTCAAATGCGTATATGTGTTAATGTTTGAGAGAGTTTAGTTTGTTTGTTGCATGCGAATGCGTTAAGTGGTAAGCACGTGGTAATTGTAGGTTAAAGAAACACTTAAATCTTAGGGTGCCGCAGTCGCTGTCGCCGCTGCAGGGGGTTAATGAACATCGGGCAACGACATACATACATTTCTTTATAAAATCATGAGTGTGTGAGTGTATCGTGCGTTGCTATGTATAAAAAAAAGGCAGGAACACAAATACTCGCGCATCCCAATGTACGCAGTACGTAACTCCCACTTATACAAATGCAATTTAAACGCACGCGGTGCTGCCCGTTGGGGAGGCAACGACAATAGTGCCCAGCAATAGACGACAGGCCGCATTTAAAGCATTATAGAAAAAAATACATTACGTAACGTAAAAATGTTATGTGATGGACTATTTTTTCTCGCTAATATCGCACTTGACAGTTATTGCCATTCGCTGGTTTTATTCGCACAATTAGCACATAGAAAAGTGGTTAGGGAGAGGGGGTAGAAGAGGGGGTGAGGTGCTTTGATCGAAAATGTCATAGTTAACGCACCTTTCTTCTTCGTTGCGGCGCTGCTGCCATTGACCAAGTTCTTTTCGCCGGCTGCGGGTGCGTTGTTGTTGTTGTGGTTCTTGTTCTCCTTGGCTTTGGCCTTGCCAATGGTACCAGCATCGCCAGTCGCCGCCGCATTTTTTGCATCAATCTCGAGCGCCATGCTGCTGTTTCTGTTTTAGCGCACAAACCGAAATCCAAATTCTATTACACGTTCACGCTGCCGTGTTACACAACTCTACGCTGCTCTGGCGACTGCTGCTTACTTGCTTGCTCTCTGCTCTGCTCACTGCGCTCAAACCGATTGCGCGTACGTGATTTTGATTTTTAAATAGAATATCTAATATAAACGGGGATTTATTGTCCGGGTGACTATTTGTAAACATATGACAATTATTTCTTTGGCTACGCTAGCATTAGAACAGCACGAGTTACGATTTCGAATCGTTAATTTAGAAATTAACGCGTTGTTTTCGGCTGGAACTCGTCAGTGTGACCGAACTAAGCAAGAGATGAAATAGACTTTCTTCACCGAAAATAAGAGACTGGTATTTTTGGTATTCTTGCGGGCACACACAACGACCAGTCACCACTCAACGCCAACACGCGAATAGTCACACTGAATTTGTTGTCAACAAACATGTCGCTGATTAAAAATTTAGTTAAAGAAACGGAAAACAAGCCCCGTAAGAAGAAAAAGAATGCGGGCTCCGACGACAGCGATTCTGGGGAAAAAGACAAGCCATTGGGGCCATTCATTAAAACGGCTACGGATCTACAAAGATTGAAGCTGGAAAAACTTATGAAAAATCCTGTAAATTTAATTGACGCTCACTGTAAACAATAGCTAATTGATTTAATATTGACAGGAAAAGCCAGTTATTATACCAGAGCAGCGCCGAGATCGTGACTACATGTCCTCGGTGCCCACATTTGTGCGCAATGTGATGGGCAGCAGCGCTGGTGCGGGTTCCGGCGAATTTCATGTCTATCGCCATCTGCGACGCAAGGAATATGCACGCCAAAAGAATATACAAAACCAAAGCCTACGCGAAGCTGCTGACGATGCGTATCAACAGAAATTGGATAATAATAAACGAGCTGCTGAGGAGCGCACGGCGAAAAAACGCGCAAAGCGCCTGAAGAAAAAGCAACGGGCAAAACGTCCACGCGAACAAAAACCAAACGAAGACCAAAAGCCAGAGAGTGAGTCCAGTGGAAGTGCCTCAGAAGCTGAAGATGAGGTGGGTACTGCAGCTGAGGAGTTGCCGTCAGAAGACAGAGAAGTGGCGAGCGCTACACAAGCAACAGAAGACGTGGTTGCTGAGCCTGCGGATGCGCCAGTTGTAAAACCCAATGCAGAAATGGAAACTGCTCCTAAAGGGCAAGAAATGGAAACAGTTGCGATTGCAGCTCCTGAAACGCAAGAAATAGAAACAGTTGCAACTGCTGCTCCTAAACCGCAGGCTGCAGCAGAAACTGAAGCATCCCAGCCAGAGAATTGACATAATTTAATTATTTTGTATGCATATATAAACAAATATAGCGTATGGTTTATAAGTGAAACAAATTTGTGGATTTATTCATGTTATGTATGTATATATATATCAATATATATTAACCAGCGATAAAACTGCCATTAAAGTAGTAATTGGCTAATTATCGATTGCATGTGTGGTTTATCGTGATAATAGGCCAACATTTAAAGCAGCTTTGGTGATAAGAGAAGCGTTTCAATTTTTTGTATTTTTGTTCAATTTTAATTCCCATAACTTATGCTAAAAAATAAGTGCTTCAAATACGAGAGTAGCCTATAATCGACTGGTTCGACTATGCAATACCCTGTACCCAGTTCCGACAACAAATGTAACACTCAATCCATGGATGGATCTGGCGCAATATCAATATTTTTGTGCATTTACGTACAATGCTCTGGGTACAGAGCATTTAAAATGTCATCAATTGTTGATTTTGTCGTTTTTCTGTTTCTTGAAGAAGCAAATTTTATTGTTTACAATTGGTTTTTGTTTTTTTGTTTGTTTAATCCACAGTCCGGTTCTTCTTCTTAATTTCTGCATGTGTGTGTCTATACGAAATTTTCAATGTTCCACAAATATTTTATAATGTATACATATATACTACTATATTTTGCCTTTGCACTTATGAACAATTAAATTAAAATTAAATTTGCAGCATTTTTACTAAAGTAAATCATATTTTTGAACTTAAAACAAACTTAAACTTGTACACATTTTATATAGGTTTAGGTTTATTTGTATTGTTTGTTGTTTGTGGTTTTGTTTAGATCCTTTAGCAAAAAAGAACACAAAACGTCTAAGCTGTATTTATAAATGTTTGTAAAAGCGTTGTTGATTGTTATTCTTTTAGATAAAAATTACCTCAATTTCATATAAGTAAAATTTCAAGTAATTAATAACAAATTTGCCTTCCATCAGAAATCGTTCGCTCTGCGTTATAATAATAGTATATTTAGAAGAAGGAAAAAATACTTTTGTTTGTTGCTGCTTTTGTTGTTGTGGTTGATTTTTCTTTTCTTATATTGCGCGAGGGTGTGGCATATATTTATCTATATTATTATGCGCTTATATGCAACAAAATTCAGAGACGACAACATCATATAGTATCGTATTTTCGCTATGTAGTCTATAAAGACTGTGTTGAGTGACATTGCAACATTTGGATTTTGACAAATACATTTTTCGTCGTACAATTGTTTTTTGTGTATGCGTATTTTTATAATATATCGTTTTTCAAATTGGTTTTCCACACTCACAAGAAATCTACGAAAATTCAACTACAGATCTTAAGTTTTTGTCGGCTAGCGAGCGTGCTTTGTGGGCGTTTGTTTTGTTTTCTTATCGATTTGTTGTTGTTTTTTTCTTAATGTTTTCTTTTTTATATATTTTGAGGCGTGGGTCTACACAGCATTTAAATTAAAAGTAATCGTATGTATATTTAAAGGTTTATATATATAAATATGCATGTACTTTGTATAGTTGGTAGGTAGGTAGGTTAGTTGGTTAGGAGGCCGTACATTAAATAAATATTTCGTTTCTTTCGCTGTTTAGTTTTTTTTCTTCTAATTGCTGCTTGCTCGGTTTTAACTTTAGACATACATCATATGTATACATACACATACATATATATATAGATATATTTTGAAATATACAATTGAAGTTTGCATTGGTGCATCTGGTAAAGGTGGCTGAGACTGTGTGCTGTTTTGCATACTCAAATATATATATGCATATATATATATATATATATCTATATATATAAATATTGTAGCTTTAATAATTATGTTTAAATTGAGAAATAAGCAAATCTTTTGCCGAGTTCCTAACGACATTCCCAAACTTTAACTGTTTGATCTACGCTGCCGGAAATGACATAGGGATGCGCTTTGTGAAAATCTAAAAAAGAAAATGTGTTAAAAACAAACTATAAATCTGATTAGTGGCATATTTTGCACCCACCAATCGATGTGCAGAAATGCTGATGCGCATAGAGCGTCTTCATGCATCGCTTGTTGCGCAAGTCCCAGACCCGTATGGTCTTGTCATCACTGGCTGATACCAAATATTTGCCACCCGGATGGAATGCCAAGCCCCGCACCCAATTGTCGTGCCCGTTCAATGTGAGCAAGCACTGTCCAACGCTCACATCCCAAATGCGTATGGTTTTGTCGCGTGAACCCGATGCCAGGAATGGTCCCTGATGGTGACCCTTCTTGTTGTCAGCGCCGGCTGCCTCATTTATTGCTGATGCTGCCGCCTCGGGCGCCCAGGCAATGCATTCCACCGTATGCTCATGATCGCGTAATTCAACCTGCAGAATATAGCAAAATGTTTAATTGTGATATATTTAATTTCATTTAATTTAAGGCCACATATTATTCAATGTACGGGAAGCCTTAGACAAACACTTGCATAGGAAGCCCCGAAGTTGCATGGCTTCTATTCGATTCCCTTATCATGCTTATATATAAGGATTCTATCCGTTGTCTGTTTGCTTGCTTACCTTGCAGTCTTTTGAATTCGTCAACCAAACGCGTATTGTGTGATCATTTGAGCATGTGGCAAAGATGCTGCCTTCAATGTGCACGCGCACCATTCGCACCCACTCCCGATGGCCGGTGTAGGTTTTAACGCAGTAGCTGGTCATGAAAATTATAAACAATTAGAATTCGATTGCTGCAATGAAAAATTCTGTTGAAAACTCACCCGGTGGCCACCTCCCACATTTTGATAGTGCGATCACGTGATGCGGATAGCACATAGTCTCCGGCGGGCACAAAGGCCACCGACGACACATTGTGATCGTGACCGTGCATGGTTTTAACACACTCGTAACTCTGTTGGAAGTCCCACAGTTTAATGGACAAATCAGCACTGCAGGAGGCTGTAAGGGACACAAAGTTAGGAGCTTAAAAACCAAGGGTCTCGATTGCTAGTTGCTGGCATTACCTAAGAGCTTGCCCTGCGCATCGAATGCCACATCCTGCACAGAGTCTGTGTGTCCTTTCAGACTACGCTCATATTCGCCAGTTTCGAAATCCCATATCTTAATGGTAGCATCTTCCGAAGCAGAAACCATGAGTCCGAATATTGGATGAAATATAACCTGCAATAACAACAATAATCAATTTAATGCTGTATGGGTGAGCTTAAATGCTAAACTTACCCTCGTTATGCTGGCACGATGTCCTGTTAGTGAGTATTTCTCTGGTGGCCTGGGTATCCATTCGCCTGGCGTACGTTTGTTCTTTGTGGGCGCACCCTCGATAACCTCCTTTTCAGCTTCCGTTAGCTTAGCCTCTAATTCCATTACCTTCTTTTGCAGACGTATGACCGATGTCCATTTCTTTTCTAACAGGCCGCCAAACTTCTTTTCCGCTTCTGTGCTGAGATCGGCCTCCTTGCGAAAGGCCTCCAGTGAGTCGGCATAGCCATTTGAGCCCAAATAATCGGCAATCGCTTGGTTACTGCAGCAGCACACCAAATAAAACACATAGAAAATTCGAAATGATTTAGTTCGACTGGTTTTATGATGATGTTGATGGTTACTTACAGCTCCTCGCGCTGCCGCTGCGACAACACCATTTTCATGCTGTTCTTCGGTTTGGGCGAGCTTCAATTCTTTTGCTGTTTGCCTCGATTTGTTGCTGCCTTCTTGTGCAATGCTGCAGAGAAATAAGAGAAGAAACATGCATAAAGACAAACGCTCGAGTATTATAAATGAATGACTGAACAGGAAATTAGTTTCACAAAATGAAAAGGCAAGTTTCGCAAAGGGGCAAGTCACCCACATAATTATACCCTGTACCCATCGCAAAATGGATACAAAAAAGCGTATATTGCGCTAATGCAAATCTTTGTAATATGCAGCAGGATTTAACTTCGGCTTTATGAAGTACTGTATATATCCTTAAGCACCATCAATATCCAAGACGATCTAGCGACTATATTTGGTCGTTTTTACATTTAGATCATAGATTTTTCAATGACACACACAGAGCAGGTTTCTTAGCGATAATTTCTCTCGTTTTTTCTGAAATAGGTAATTATCGATTTTTGAGCCAGTTTTTTTAAGCATACCTCAAAGATAAAAACAGAGATAAAAAATATTTTATGTAGTAACAGTACAGAAAAAATAAGTACACGTTCATGTAGCGACAATTCGGAGCTGTGTACAGGGTATCTCCTAGTTGGGTAACTAAATAGAGACATTCTCGATTTTTTTGGCAAGCTTGCCTCAAGACGCCGCATCTTTCGTATGCATACTCATTAATCTACTACTACTTCCCTCCGTCTACGTCCCTATGCCTTCCTTCCTTTCATTGTTTCACAGCGTGTAGCATGATGATCAACATAATTATCAACATCTTCAGCCTCCGAAATTGTTTCGTTTGTGTGTTTCTGGCACACCAAAATTTTCGGTTCGTCTGGCCGCCATATTAAAGCGCGCATTGTCTGCAAAACTTAAAGCTCAGCCGGTGGGCCAATCAGGTTGCAGCAACTATTCGCAATGACTTCCATGTTTTGAACTTTGTATTTGATCAAATGCAACTCTGCTTATAATTGACACATCGATTACTGCTCAAATATAACAATGCAATAGTCAACAGCTTCCAAAATAGTCAAAACAGCACCGATGAGAGCAGCTGTTATTTAAGTAGTTGCTTTAAATAGCAAGCCATGTTGTACTTGTTGTTGGTTATGGCAAGAGCAATTCAATTAACTCAAGGTGGTCAGCAATAGGAAGAACAGCAATAAGCAACAGGCAATAACAAAACACAGGTATCACGCAATAAAACGACATAAAACTAAACGAATCTAAGCGAAAAAAAATCAACGAAAGCATAACGCGTTTTTGTTTTCTTTCTAGATAAGCATTTGACGACACATTTGTGTGTGTACCACGTTGCCAACTATAGCAAAGTTACAAGCAGCGCTGACAAAGCCAATTAGCAAGATCTAACGGTAGTTCAAGCAACTTCTTATAAGTAAATAACGCAAAACGAAAGAGAGACGCACAACAAAGTCCAAGCTTAGACTACACAGGCACACACATACATATGCACTCGAATCGAGGAAATGACGTTTTCAGTTTATTTTTGGTCGCTTAACCATCGACAAATAATATTTAACGATTTTTGAACTAGCTGCTGAGCACAGGGCGATACACAATTTAATGAAAACTGACCAAACGAGTTCAAGCGTTGAAATTTGCTTTTTTTTGCGGCGACGTCGACGTCGGCATTGAAACTAGACATGAGTCACGCGCTTGGAGCGCAGTGCGAGAGCAAAGACAGCCTTTATCAGCTGTTGGGACATTCTCTCGC